AGTTTAATTAAAGTAGAATTATTTTAAAGTGTGCATCTATGTAGTAAAGTTTTTTAAAAGTAACTTTTAAGGATGGACATAAAATAAAAATTGTAAGGAAAAAAGAGAGATATAATCATGAAAGGATTATCTAGAGGAAACTTAAAATAACTTCGCCTACTTACAATTTTCTGTAGGAGGCTACTCATCACCAGTTTATGGTTAGTGGTATGGAAAAGGGGAAAAAAAAGTATATGACATTTTAGCAACTCTTTACACATACGCAAAAGTAAGATTTGAAAGAACACTTCATTTTAAATAATAATGAAAAATACCATATATGTTTAAGAATAATGTTTCTTCAATTTTTATTCTGATATAGCAATGCTTTCACTTAAGCTGGCAGTTGAAAATTGCTGTAAGACAAGCAAAAGGCAGAAACTTTTAGCTAGACACTGTTCATGCTAACGCTGGTATATAGGAAATGCAACTAACAAAGACTTGTTTTTATAATCTATGTGTTGAATACCTGCGCATTCGAAGTTGTGCGAGGCGATTTGTGGGACTGCTAAATCCACTGATGATAACACACTATTGTTATATTTATTTCACCATAAGTAAAGATGCTTGTAACTTTCTTAATCGGAAATTATGTTTTCATTCATATACATCTAATTCATTTTACTGGGAATCCCATTTACAGGAAAAAAATAAAAAAATAATAAATTCAGGGTTATTCAAAGCATTTGACTCAAATTCCGATGAATATAATTATGCTCCGGTAGCAGATTTAATTTGGTACATATCTAAGAAAAAAGGAGATCTTTGAGTTTTAGAATGTTACCAAAGTTCTGACGTAGAAATTAATGCTTTCTTAACGAAATATTCTTATTGAATCATTTGGAATGGACACGGTGGTGATTTACCGTCAGCAATTTACTAAATGTCTTCCCACGTGGCTAAATTGTTTTCCAATTTTCGCCATCTTTTTTAAACGTCACACTTTTACCAAGTCATGTATTTATATGATCCTATTTTCTCGTCGTCTAAAAGCACTATTGTAAAACATTGAACCATCAAAAGAGTTCTTTAGAAAAGCAGTGATGATCGGTTTATGCCACATTTACTCAAAAGCCATCAGAATTTTAAAAGCTGCATTTCCTCGTATTATAGACACTATAATAAAAGATAAGTTAGGGCAAGTGTGACAAACATTTGAATATCTTTTTATGTTGAGAATTTAAATTAAAGGAAGTCACTTAGAGCACTCATAAGTAAAATCTGAGCAATTGTTCTCTGATTTCATTTACCTGTTTCTTCTGTAAATTTAACATTTTAAAAAAAGGAAGGCATTAAAATTGAGTCAATGAATGTGAATAACCCTTACTATTATTATGCGCATTGTGCCTTTTTATTTCATTTTAATAAGAATATAAAATATTTTAAATTACATTTCCAAAGAACTGAAAATGCTAAAAAATAGCATATTATGAAAGAATTTCATTGATGTCTTTATTTTATTTGTTATGTTTTGTGTTATTTTTATATACTTATTATTATTTTTTTTTGCATATTAAATGTAAATACATGCCTCATTAAATTTATTAAATATAAATTCCTGTTTCTTTCAAAATCAGTTATAGATTAAATCAATTAGCTCACTACTGCTCTACAGAGATTTCAACTCCTTTACAGAGGCACACACCTCTCTCATCTTAGCCTTTGCGGATAATATCTTTTGTAAACGAAAACCTTTTACTGTAAGGCAGCGTTTCTCAACCTTGAAGTAACACTTATATCATAGGAAACGTCTACATTAAAACTTTTATTCATAATCATATGAACTATTTCTGAAACTTCCTTAAAAATAAATTAATGAGAGAAAAACATACACACACAATATATATTTGTAAGCTTGATTCAGCGGAAAATAGCTCGCGAATTTTTTAAACAAAATAAATAAAACGAATAAATAAAATAAAACGAAACTAAAAAAATAGATAACTAAGACTGATATCTAACTGCCTGTTTAACCCTTTGCGGCACAGTGTGTCCGGTCTGGACACACCTAAAAATTTCCTTCTCTACGCACAGAAAAATTGAATGAAAAAGGATTTATAGGTTACTCTGAACCTTCTTTATTAAAGTAGTAGATGGCAGCTCAACACAACTCAGTCCATATATTTTAGCCATGTTTAGTTTTCTAAGACCGTCATTTTTCAAAGAAATCTTCCAGATTATTTTAGGGTATAAAAGGAATTGTTCGAAAAGAAACTTCTATGTTATTTTTTGGCTGTATGCTAATATCCTTATTCTACATTAGTTTTAAATTTTTACCTTGAAATCTTACTTAAAATCAAACGGCGAACCCTAGGTGTGCCCAGACCGGGCTCACCGATCATCTAGGACAACTGAGAGTCTGTCTTCTTTGTTTCTCCGCATCTCATCGGTCAGTTCATTGACAACAATGCTCGTTTGAGCACTCTTTTCCAAACTCTATTCAATCAGTGTGCCACTTTGGGCACACCCACAGAATTAAAACGATGAGTGCTATCTTCACAAAATTTTACTTGTGTACTCCTCTTGGCCTAATTAGAATGCCTACCTTTTTTTTAAAATAAAAACTCCGACTTTAAGAGGTAGTGTGCCGGAAAGGATTAAGAGACACTTTGTAGAAGTTTTAATTTACATAAAGCATATCATTAGCTGGAATACTCCTCCAAACATAGCAAAATGAATAAAAATAAATAAATATAAGTAACTAGTATTCTGCACAACATATATAAGCAGAAGTAAAATATATAGCAATAAATACAATTACTTAATCAGTGTTGAGAAAGTTTTCTATCCTCTGGAAATTTCTGCGGTTTTTCGATGATAAATACAAATGAAGCAGTACAAAAACATAAAAAATTTCATAGAATAACATAAGCACCATTTTGTTCTACGGCATTTTCTCATCTCATCTCTGTAGCAGCCGGAAAGCTTTCTTAAAAAGTGCCATTATATTTATTCATAAGGAATTTATTGAGGTGCTGTTTGAGAATCTCCAAAGATATGAACTCCAGGCCAGAGAATTTTGAAGTGATCTGAAGAGATTAAATCCAAAGGGACAAGATCTAGTGAAAATGGGGGGGGGGTGACACAAAACATATCAGCCATATTCAAAAAGCATTTGTATGGTATTCATTGAAATGTGGGACCAAACTTCATCGTGATGGAGTGCAACACTTGGCAAATGGGTGGCTCTGGGCGCTTTGCCATAATTTCTGCTTTTAAAGCCTGCCTTTGGGAACATTATTTTTTCGAATTTATAGTTATTTGTTATCTGGTCACAACAGTTCATGGCACACAGTTCCTCTATAACCTGACAAAAGCAACTCCCCCTTGATGTTACTAAAGGAAGTTTTTTTTTTTTTTTTTTTTTAACTTACCCCATGACCGTTTTCTTGTAATTTTATTGCATAGTATTTATATTTCATCTCCACTAATGATTTGTTTCGAAAAAGAAGATTTATTCCATGTTCATCAAATAATCACATGTTAAAACTCGACCAAGCATGTCCTGCGCTGCTAAAGTATGGGGTACATCGCAGCAGCGTACACACTCAGTGTTTTTCATGATAATGTGTTGTACTTTTTGGAATATTTATTCTATCCGATAGTTCCCGAGCTGTATAACTTAGATTTTCAGCAATATTTCTTCAATAAGATCTTTGTACAGAAGTACGGTCATCCAGAGCGGACATCATTTTCGAGACATATTTACAGAACACCTTCGAACAGACACAACACTTTTTATGTATTTTCTTAGAAGTTTCACTAACATTTTCCCCACTTTTTAAAGATAAAAATGCATAATATGGCACAAATGAAACTTTGATTCTTCATTCCTAGTACTGCACTGAAACAAAAATTATGCCAGAATTACACAGATTGAGCAGAAAAGACCGTCAGCAGTACAAAATAATTAGAAAGAAACGTACATCGACTTGAAAAGTTGCAGAACGTTCCGGATGACCCAATGTAATGTGAATCAATATAAAATTTTATGTGAAAATATTAAATGTAATATGTGACAAAGAAATGATATTTTTGAACCCAGTTTAGGCGATTTAATGTGAAACGTTATAAAAGAACATTTTTATCCTCCAAACTGGAATCAAAAATAACATTTCTTTCACACATATTATATTTAAATCCTTAATATAACACTTGTCAAAGAAATGTGGCATTCCTTTTGATAAACAAATATTTAATCTTTATTTATAGAAGAATATTTAGCAACTTATTCTGATACACTAGAGGTCTGGGGAATAAGGTTGAGAAACGCTGATGTACACTCAGCACATACACACAAAAAAAGACACAGTTGATATATCTCCTTTTCTAAGATTGACGAAATTTAACGGGTAGATTGAAAAAATTTAAAATTGCATTTTTCATATCTTGAAAGCGCGATTTAGTATATATATAGTAGTGTTCTTACATAGGAATTGTGACACAAAATTGGACTTTTTCTGAAACAAAAAAAGTGATTTTTTTCCCGTATTTTGATTCCACTACTCAAATTATGTCAAAGTGCCAAGTTTTGTAAAAATCGCACAGGTAGTTTTTAGATAATTAGCTCTTAAAATTTCAGTTCCTCAACATTAATTAAATTTGGTATATATTATAATTCGAAATTTAAGTTCAGATAAAATTCGCAAGTAATTTTTGATTTATTTTTAAAATTTGTATTTTTTAGTAATTTTTGTACATTTTTAGAAAAACATTTTTAATTATAGCCTATAAAATTTTTACCATCACCTTAAAGTTGATGTATTTATAGGAATACCTGAAAAAAAAAATTAGAATTTCTATTGAAAAACTCCTAAAATATACGTGAATTTATATACAAGCTCGTTTTGAAATTTGGGACATTTGTTACAGGCGGGGCCCACCAGCGGCCGAGCGGTAAAGTCGCTGAACACCGGTAGTTCGGTCCGAGGTTCGAATCCCACGAACGGGCTGGCTGCATGGGCGTTTCCGTGGTTTTCCTCATGTGTAACGTGTATACGAGCCAGTTTCCCTTAGAAAGTCCTCCCCATCCATCCCCTTAGGCAGATAGTCCTAGTGTGCTTTGCCATAATTAAATAAGCCAAACTATTGTTATAGGCGTTAATGACGTCAAATGGGATTTAAAACACTTTGTTAAATTACGTGAAAAAAATGAACGATGCACGTTTTTTTTTTTTTTTTTCCCCTCCTTGCACAAAAAAATAGATAGGAAATTAGGTTAACGATTTCCAGTTCTTGGAAAGAATTTTGCCAGTTCTTGGCGCAAGCTGAAAAAAGTGTGCCAATTTAAAATTTTAAATTTCTCGGTAAGTTTCTCATCCAGTTTTACAAAATTTAAACTTGAAAGCATATTTCCAGTCGTAGAACCAAAATATGGAAAAAATTGCTACGTCATTTCAGAAAAAGTCCAATTTTCTGTCAAAATAAGTATGCTAGAACAATACAATATATAAATCTAATATATATCCTAAGTTACGCTTTCGAGACATGAAAAACTCAAATTAAATTTCATCAATCGGTCCAGTAGAAGAGAGATATAGAACTGTCCCATTCTTGGGGAAATGTGTGAGCAGAATGTACAATTTATGTTCCACAAGACACTTTTTAAGTTCTTCCTTTAATTTTTAGTCATGCATATAGTATAAAAGACACTTTTATAACCTTACTCTTTGAAATTTCAGTCTAATAAAACTTTCAGTGCAAGTACCGTTTGTTTCCCTTTGTTATTTAATAATTGCTGATTACGATTTTAGCTGAGTAGTTGATTTAAAAGACTGAAAGCTAACGGCTCACACCATTTATATATTTTAAAATTCTATCTATGTTAGTTACAAAGCAAGTGTAACAGGCATAATATGGAACATTTTCCATTTATTTCGTAAATATTAGGCATTAGTTTTTTTGACTATAATTATTCCGTAAAAATATTCTATACTCAGTAAAGAATTTATGATTTTCTGTTTCCTAATTTGGAACACATGTTAACAAATCTCAATGTGCTACTTTTTATAGAATGCATAAAATGAACTACATTATTTAATTGGATGTCTATAGAAGTCTAGTGATATACTTTTTTTGTACTTTTTGCCAGATAAAGTGCCAATATCTAAAACTGATATCGCCAATGGGATCTGCGCACTTCTCCGCAAACAGGAAATACTGGCTTTGGAGTTTAAATATTGTCAAGCTGTTAGACTCTTCTTTATAGAAGGTCTTAACTTTGAAAGACTCTGAATTCATTCGTACTGTAGAGCAAGTGTTTGTTCGATCCCTTTAGTAACACATAAACACAACTAGAGTTTACGTACTATTCCCTTATATCCAAAACGCGTACACCGCAACGGCTATCTATTTGGGGCAACTCCTCATACGACCTCTAGATTTAGTTATATAACTTTATATTACTTTTTTACATTTTGTGCGTAACATGCAAAATGTCCACCGTTTAGCTATTCCTTAATTAATTCTTTAGTTTGGAAGCAACCATAATTCTGAAAGTGACTGGTATATCTAATTAGCTGTTGCTGCCATGTGGTATTTAAACTTTAAGAGGAATCTAAACGTAATTTTATTGGGATATTCGTATTGTAAAAATATGTATTTCTAGATTCAGGCTTAATAAGATCGAAAACACAGGTTTCAGGTAAGTTTAGAATTTATATATTGCTGTTATCTTGTGTTGATTTTTCTGCAATACCAGCGGGAAATCGGAGTGTCTTAAAGTTAGCTGTGCTTTACTTGGGTGGATTGCGATGCTTCAAATTGCATCTAGATATACACACGTTTCAGATTTAAAAGGGTGGTCACACATGATCATACTTAAATATCATACAAAGAATATGAATAAAAATGAAAGCGTCAAATGGAATGTTATTGCGTTCTCCTGTTTAGTACACTGGTCCCTCTTTGCACTCTCTAAATTAGAAGCCCATTTTGATCAGAAAAGTTGATGCATTGGAACTACTTCTTCGGCAAACAGTTATAAACATATTTTTGAACCGCAAATCGTTGCTGTGCTTCATCTGCGGCAGGAAGATATAAACGGCGTCTGTGATGAGTTTTGACAAGATGGCTGACCTGCAGCCGATGACAGCATGAACTCGCGGCCAGCTCTTTAGTTTATCTTAGCACTGTATTTTCTGTATTCTAATATAACAGATGGACAATGTCCGAGTTTTCCAGCAAGCATGATCGTGTGTATCCACTCATGAATGTCATCTCCACAGGGTTTTTATTTTTTCCCTTATTTGTTACACTTTGGCTCGGCAGCATTGAATATTTTTTCGCTTCAACTCATTGCGCCGTGGATATATTATTAATACTTATATTAGTCTTGTTTAGAAAAGCTACGCCATTTTGCGTAGAAACAGACCAGATCTTTGTCCGAATTAGCACACTCCTTCGGGACCTTCGGAGATGTGTGGCAAGGGGGGATATCTGGGCTGATCTTGTGTGCAGTTACCATCGCTGTGTTCGTAAAGATGACATCTGAAACAGTAGTTGAACAAGTGAGAGAATATAACACATGAATTCAATGACACACCAAAAATGCAGTATTATTTGCAGAACTGAAAATGCAAACTTCGAAATTGGTTCAAATACAAGGTAACGAAAATTAACGGGCAGTACATTTATATATATATATATATGTTACCGTGAAAGACCGAAATTGGAGAATGTCGACTTTCACCGGAGAATGTCAACATTCAAATACGTCGATGAAAGATCGAATATTGCATTACCTTTATATTACTTTTTTACATTTTGTGCGTAACATGCAAAATGTCCACGTTTAGCTATTCCTTAATTAATTCTTTAGTTTGGAAGCAACCATGATTCTGAAAGTGGCTGGTATATCTAATTAGCTGTTGCTGCCATGTGGTATTTAAACTTTAAGGGGAATCTAAACGTAATTTTATTGGGATATTCGTATTGTAAAAATATGTATTTCTAGATTCAGACTCAATAGGATCGATAACACAGGTACGTTTAGAATTTATATATTGCTGTTATTTTGTGTTGATTTTTCTGCAATACCAGCGGGAAATCGGAGTGTCTTAAAGTTATCTGTGCTTTACTTGGGTGGATTGCGATGCTTAAAATTGCATCTAAATACACTCACGTTTCAGATTTAAAAGGGTGGTCACACATGATCATACTTAAATATCATACAAAGAATATGAATAAATACATTCGGACCCTCACCGGTGTATATCGACAGTCACAGATATGTTCTGGTGTAGGTCCAAAATTGAGGTCATAAAGTATCATAATAGTTTAAGTTGCGGCAATAAATAAGATTTTAATCACATAATTTAGTAAGTTTCTTATTACTATTATTACTTTCTCATTAGAACGTACTGTATATTAAGTAAGTTTTAACTTCTATTACTTTCCTTCTCATTTTGAATGTCCGTGGGTTTTAACTTCTTATGTTCTTAAGTTCTTATTTTAACACTCAAGTGCGTTTTTTCGGGGCTGAATTACGGAGAAGAAAATATAATGTTGAAAATATATGTTGAACATTCACCATTAGTACATGGTGAATGTCGACATTGACCGGTGTAAGTCAGAAATAAGAGTATTTGGAAAATATTTCGGACATACACCAAGAGACTAGGTGATTGTTGACATTCACCGGGGAAAGTCGACATTCTCCGGATTTCGGTGTTTCACCGTAACATATATATTTATATGAATTTTGTCAAATGTATACGTATATATTCTGAGAAATATATTTTCACGTTTATAAAAAGCAATATTTGTGATTGACTGAACTATATCCTTTATGTGTCTATCATAAAGTAATTATAGGAACATAAGTAATTGTTCAAAGTATTCTCCTTTTAACTCGATGCAGTCTTCTGCTCAAAGAATAGTACATTAACATGTTTTGTTCGTTATTTCGCTTTCGCCCTTCCATATTTATCCGCATAAATTACTTTCTTTAAAATATTTCACAAAAAAAGGTCGATTAAAAACATTCCCTTAGAATTTTACTATATCACTTCATAAATGCATTTATTTATATCAGTGCTAAGATCGGGTCATATTCGGCATATTTCGTTGCCCTATTAATTCTGCAAAACCTTGTATTCTATAGTAGTTTTCAAACATTAAGATCTTAAAAAGTTACCAGATTAAAATTAAAGTACTATTGAATCTATACGTAATTACTTTATATAGCTTCAAGAGAATTGTAATTCCTACAAGTTAAAATTTTCGAAGGAAAAAAATTAGCTACTAGATTTTGATTAATTTGAATAGTACTGACACAGAAAATTTGTTATTTAAATTTTAAGAAGAATTTTGTATTTTCATTTAGTTTTCGTGACAGAACGAAACTACTAAAAAATCTGCCTCTAATTATTTATTTGCTTTCTTACAGTTTTTAATGAAGTGGATTTGTAGTTTAGTTTCAATAAAAATATTTAAAATCAAGTTTAAGAAACGTTTCAACGTTTAAGAAAACAAATACAAATTTAAAACTTTTTTCAGTGACGAACAGGAATTAAGAAATTTTAAAGACAATAAATTATTTTATTTTCATATTTTCACTATTTTTGCTTCTTTAATATTTAAGAATTAAATAATAATTTTTCATATTTCTTATTAAAATTTAAAACACAAATTTAATGCCATTATATGTTATTAATTTAGCTGTTAAACACTTAATTTACATAAGTATCAACATTCTCGAATATAGGTGTTAATTTTGATACAGTTCAATATTTCGGAGAAAAAGGGCATTGAAATATGATCAACAAGAGATGAATAACTTAATTTTTTCCTTCCCCATCTTTCTTGTAATTTTGATTTAGCTGCATCTTTCTATCCACGCAGTTACAGATGAGAAACAGTTTATACAGTTACAGATGAGAAAAACGCAAAGAACAGGAAAACTGTAAGATGGGAAAATTAACAGTGACAGGTAATTTTGCAATCTGCCAGTCGTATGAACCTTAAAGAATGAAAACAGAAGCGAAAAATTCATATTCATATTCACATTTCATTATCATATTTATGACTAATAGTAACAGAAAAAAGGAGAAATGGAAGTTAAGAAAAATGAAAAGACAAATATATAGTAGACGAAATAAAAGCAGAACAGTAGAATTAAAGAAAAAGAAAAACAGAAACAAAATTAAAAAAATCGAGGGAAAATATAATAGACCTCCCCTCCCTCCCCCCAAAAGAAAAACATGAGCCGAAATACAGATAAAATGGAAGTAAGTAGATACAGACATAAAGAAAAACAGAAACCCAACGAAATAAAACATAACAGTTAACGAAAAAAAATAGGATTTAAAAAAAAAAAAAGAGAAAAAAGCGGAAATAAACGTAGAAGGCGAAAGACGAAAGGAAATTATCACAGATAAAAGGAAAACAGATATGTGCGTAAAGAAAATAAAAACAACGAAAAACAAAAACGGAAGACAAAAAACATAAAGGGCGAAAGAAATGGGCGAAAATAAAAACAGTTAAACATACAGAATTGGAAATAGGATTAAAAAAAAAAAAGCGGAAATAAACGTAGAAGGCGAAAGACGAAAGGAAATTATCACAGATAAAAGAAAAACAGATATGCGCGTAAAAAAAAAAAAAAAAAAAAAAAAAAGGAAAACAAAAAGCATAAAGGGCGAAAGAAATAGACGAAAATAAAAACAGTTAAACATACAGAATTGGAAATAATTGTCAGCATTGGAGCAAATAGACTCATAAAAATCGAGTTTGTGCATTTAAGGCAACAGTTAATTTCTTGCAACAACAACAAACATAAATGAAATAAGTAAATTTCTTTTTATATTTTAATTCAAGATTCTGTATTAATTTGTTTTCAATCTAAAATTTTGCAACCTGCTAATCTTCACCAAGTTCAGCTTAAGTTATTGATAAAATTCTCTTGGATTCGAGAAGGTTGATCGATATGCAACATTCATAAAAGAAGTTTCTTAAAATGCATGCATTTTAAAATTATGTATTATAAAGTATTATAAAAGTTATTTATTTGCTAATAATTGAAATTCTATGCAACAGAATGATTATATTTGAGCCAAAGTCTATTTTTAACCAATATGTCCGTAAAATGAAAGTAACGCTCATCATTTAAAGCTTTTTCTGCCTGAAATGAGGTGTTTGTTAAATTTTAAAATCTTCCCTTTAGTAATTAACAGGAATTTTTCAAGTAATTAAATACAATTACGTAGAATTTTAGATGAAAGTGTTCCATTCATGCATGCATTAAATTAATCCAGAGTTCAACACGACGTGAGAATTAATAAGCAATATGTCAGTCAACGTTTTACATGTGGATACTTTTCAATAAGGATTTAGAAATCTGAATCTCGCAGAATGAATATGAAGAATCTGATTCTGAATTTTCTGTTGTTTAAATGTTTATTAATAAAGAAAGTGAATTTTTAGTCATTTGACAAGCACTTTAACTATTGTCCTCTAGCCAATCACTAGAATATATACGAGGTTTTTCGGAAATGTATCCAGCCACATTAAACATCTCGAAGATCGGTTAAGCTGTCTTGTGAAATTTGGCGGAGCGTTTGGAGAGAGAGAGGAATGAATTTAATGTTCATAGCGTGAACAGTAATGTTTGACCAGCTAATCGATCTGTAGTGAGACTCCATTCATCAAACACTTGTACTGCATTACCACTATGACATTGGCCTTTGCCCAATTTTCACAGTTTGTGCAAGTTTCCTAACAAAGCATTGAATCATGCAAGTTAGTTCCCTTGCAGGGCAAATTCAGGTCCTTGTTGCATTTAGCTCTTTTCAAATCTTTTGCTCACCAGTAAAAGAGAGATTTCATAATGAATAAGAGACAGGCGAATGCGTGGCAAGGGAGCTGATGGTAGTTCCGAAGAATTTTGCAGACTGTTTTGAAAAACGAAAGACGTTGGAATTGTGCAAGATCCCAAGCATTGTGCAAATCTCAAGCAAACTACGAAAGGGATTAAAGCATCATAACATGATTTAAAATATAATGGCTAGATATTTCATATTCTTAGAAACGAAAATGAGTTCATCGTGGGATTAATCTACACGCTCGTAAGCTTCCATATTTTTGAACTTCTAAAAATTTTTCCTTATCTGAAATTCTCAGATCGATCCTAGCCGGATAGTAATAAATTATACGAAATAATTTTACCGTGAGTTAAAAATTGTTTTCTGATTCGCTCCCCAAAACTTTTGAATTATATTCTTTGAAGAGCACTTGGCACAAAAATGGCGTATCGCAGTTGATACAAGAATATTTATTTATCATTTATCCACTTTAATTACTTTGCAATAAACATTTGATGGAGTCCAGAGATAGATTTTACCACATTAAATAGCATCACATATTAATTAGCCTTTTGAAATTCTAAAAAAAAATTATTTTATGTGCAAAATTTACTTACAAATATAAGTTTATGAAACGTGAAAACTTTAATCAACTTGCAAAATAAGTTTAATTTGCAGAAAGAAAAAAAAATCAGAATTCCATTATCATTACGTTTAATAATAAAAAATGCTTTAGTGAGAGGTGTTGTCACCAAAAATTACTTCAAAAGAAAAAAAAATATGCATTTTAAAAGTCAAAGCATAAAATATACATTATATAAATTTTAAAGGATCTATAGAATAATTGCTGACCAAGAAAAAAGTAAGTTTCGCATCGCATCCAGAATGCCATATTTTAGGCAGCAGAATTTTTGTTTTTATTCTAGTTAAAATTTCTAAAAAAGAACCAAAAAAATAAAATTTTAAATTGCAAATGACAGTCGATGCCTGTATTTGAGCTAGTATATTAAATACTCCTGTTCTTGTGCAGCTCTTTAAAGATAACGCAAAAATGATTAGGGGATTTTTTTTATAAAAGTCTGGTGCGAATAGCAGTTGTCCGTGGACGATTTCAGTAGTAGCTGAAATCTACAGCTTCCTACAACTACTGTATGTAAGTGTTAAATGATAAGATGTGTAATAAGTATTAGTATAATTTTGAATGTAGGAGCTTATATCTCAAACCATACTACAGTAACATGTTTGTCAATTTATGATTAAAAATTGTTTTCCGGCTAGGATCAGCGAAAACTGAGATTTTAGAATTCCTCCTCATGTAAATGATTCAAAGTATCAGATCAAAAAAGTAAGAAACCCAAACTAAAATTTTCGAAATTTCATTTAAAGTTAAAAATTTCTGAACCTATTCAACTAACTGTACAGCTATGAGTGTAAATAGTGCGGGCGATCATTTAGCTTACTTGTCTCTCATTCGAAATTTAACCTATCCCTTTGAAAGTCGGTTAAAAATTATCTTGTTAACTAAATTCTTCTGACACGTTTTCAATATATTAACACTGAAGGAGGGAATGTAAAAAGGGTTGCAATTGGCTCAGATACATTCATTCTGTCCGTCATTTGCGAAGAATAATGAAATCAATGAACCTTATATTCCGGGAATTTTTTCTTTGCTTTCCTCTTTGCACCTGATGGAAGTGAGCCTGTGGAAATGGCAGAAGGCGGGCCTTGGGGCTCGGGTTCTACTTTGGCTGTTCGGGCGCCCCTCATCGAGGCCGGGGCTGGGGGCGGCAAGAAGGCGTTTTCTTCTGAAGAGTTGGCATACGAGTCTTCAGAAGGCGGCGGACTTGGTGCATAATCACAAGGTTCTGGCACACGGCGAGCTTTGGATTTTCTGGCATAAGAATAGTCTCTCTTGCTTGTGACGGGCAAAGCTTCCTCACTCGCACTTCTCACTAGCTGATGGGAAGAATAAGTACTGCCTTCATCATCTCCGCTCTGGTCACCATCATCATCATCGTCCTCTTCCATGGAATAGTGCCCTCGTTTGGTGGAAGAAGCGCCACTTGCCTGAAGCCGACCGAGCAGGTAATGGAGACCAGGGTCCACTTTACCCTCGCTGCCGGAGCGGTCTTGCCTGCCAAGCAAGTAGTGCCTGTCCGCCTCCGGCTCGCTTAGTCGGATCTCGTCTGAACATGCTGGAGACATATGCTGTTGCTGCTGTAAAGGATGGTGTTCCAGCTGCCGAAGTAGATCTTCGAGGTTGCGAATCCGTATTGGAACAGGAATAGGTTCATCCATATCGTCATCTCGTTGATCTTCTCTACCTTTCACGCTACCAAGTGTAGAATAGTTCATATCTCCTACACTTTTGTGACTCTCTTGCGAAGGACTTCTTTTGCTATCGCCTAACCTCTGTGATGCTGAATGGAGAGCTTCGAGTATTTCTTCGTGATAGCCATTGATATTCTTGAGAGTCCTTTCTACATCGCTGGAGGAGTCCATGATGTTCTCATCTCCTGCATCGTCTCCTTCTTCCCAGCATTCCGGCCGGCCATGCTTGAGGATACCTTTCTCAGGAACGCGAGTGAGATTATCCGGCGACAGTTCGATGAATGTGGAAGTTTCGCCTGTCGGCTGCGTGCTCTCCACTGGCAACTTAGGAGGAGTGTCTTGCTTTCGCCGCTGCAACTCTTGCAATTTGTCCTCCCTGTTGGGGCGGGGTCAACAATCTGACTCGTGACAATTATCGGACCGGGGTTCGAAAAGACGGGCCGGGACGTAGCCCTGCTCTTTCCTATCTGGTGACCTTTGGTCAGCATGCTCAGTAAATTCCTCTTCAGTTGATCTTTTGCACGGGATATAGCCCTGACCAGAGCTGCAACAGAACAGGAGAGAAACAGGGCTAGATCCGAGCCCAATCTACGTTCTACTTAGAATGAATATACAATGCAACATTACTTTAAGAATTTCATTTTCCTCACATGCTTGCAAAATAGCATTAAAAGGTAGTAGCAGTGTAATTTGTTTATACATTTTATAATTAATTTTTGATAATTTCCGAAATAAAAGAAGGTGGTACTTTTATGGAATGTTTAAGAATATAGCTTTTAACATGCTTTTAGTCACTACATCGACGTACATAAGAAGCTTAGACCGCTTTTAGCATGTTTATCAATTTGCATATGGCAATTGGCTTGCCACATAGATTTTATAAGAAAGAATTCTCAACTTTTTAATCATTTCCCCATTCGAATGTTTATCAGATTTTATATTTGAATTTTGATACAAAAGAAGCAAGAGCATTTATAAAATTTTTGATTCATCGGATAAACTGGGAAGAAATTCTGCGGCCATTTTGCACCAAGTGCTCAAGTCGATATCCAATAATCGAAAAATGGTGCAACCTGTTTTTTTCATTAGAGAAAAAGATCTCGAATTATACGTTATTCATATTGAATTTTGAGGTTTGAATGAAATGGTCTACGTTTAATGTTTTAAGAATTCATTTAAATAATCACTGTATAATGGTTTTAGGGAGTAAATAGTGTGAAACTGCAGAATTAAACATATATTTAAGAATCAAATTATGTAATTATTATGAAAGATTATTACGGTTTCAAAATTTATCTCTATTAGTTTTCATAAAACATTTTCCATACATCAATGCCTAAAACAAATCAATTTTTGAATCAAGTAATTTATATCTTAAACTATCAATGTCAAATATAATTAAGTAAACGTTTTCTAGCATAATGAATGTTTTACATGAGCGTAATTTTATCAGTATAATAACAATTATCCCTTACGAATTCCTAATTTATTAAGATAAAACGTTTTTTTTTAAATTGAATTAAAATTGTAGTTTTGGAATACTTGATTCAAAAATTTCAAAACTATTAAAATAAATTATTTAGTAACAATTTTTTTAAATTCATCATTTAAAAATATAACCTATCAGAAAAAGAAATCTTAAGATAAATCTTAGATAAGCATATACAGTTACTCGATTTAAAAAAATAAATTAAAAAAAAGAAATTTAGGACTTTTGTTACCTGTAAGATGGCATACTGCCGAAAGTAATAATACGATTGACGTTTTCTTGGGAACCGTCTAGCTTCTTGCCGGATAAAGGCATATGCAATTTTTTCCCGAAACGCTTCTTCAAATAATCGGAGGCGCCTTTCGGTAGAATCCCGCTGCGTCTAAAAAAAAAAAAAAAAAAAAAAAAAAAAAAGTTTTAGATTTTAAATTACGTCCAAATTAAATTACGTTTTTTTAACGTTTTGTGCGTTATCTTTATTTGTTAAACATCATGTTCTTCGTACTTAAACCATAAAATTCAATTCAACAGGAATATCGCAAAATAGTTTTAAAATGAGCATATGTTTAGAATTTCCGATACAAAAACTCACGCGCTGGAGATAAAAATGTTTTTTCTGCATAACGTTGCCATTGCTCGCTTTGAAATCCTTGAGTCTGTTAATCAAAAATTCGTCAAAGTTTTAAAAAATAGGAAATCGATCATAAAACAAATTTCAAATTTCAAATTTGGTCTTCCACATGCTCATATTCGTTGGAGGATTACGTATTCAAAATTCGATGACTCTATGTACCGTTGTTTTATCACAATACGAGAAATATACATACATTTATGCAGATTTTTCATTATTTAATTTCTTCAAATATAATGCAGGACTCTAACATTTTGTGGCAACAGTTTGAAAAGTGAACCGACATTTATGAGTCCGACGCAAAATGCCAAAACGAAACTAATAGTCCTTCGGGATTCAAATCCCTTTGGACTAAAAAAAAGTAATTATTTCTGTTTTTTACAACCAAAAATAATGTTTTGCTTGATTGCATTGTATCATAAGATGAGAAATTTAAATAGTAATAAGATTACTGTTATAATAATATGCATTCTAAAATAATAGGAGATAAATAAGATGTTCTAAACCCTTAAGGTTTGAAAAACCCTTTACTCGGCCTTTATTTTCGCAATCGTTGGTTGTAGTCATATACACTGTAGAAGTGGTTTTATAAGAAGAAGTGGTCTTATTAATAATAAAATTACAAGAAGTTTGAGTACAGCACCACGAAAATTGACCGGGATATTTAATTTCAAAATCTGCAGTTTATGATGGCATTTTCAACTTACCTTAAAGCATCGGTGAATAAATTTAGAATAACTGAGAAGTTTAAATGAAGAGAAATGAAGGAAATCGTGTGGTGCCCATATTATGCTTTTTGTATGTGTAACTCATAAGAATATTTGCCACCCATTGTGCGAGTATGTTACCATTTAGGCGGCTTAGGTAATTACCAACAAGAGAAAAAAATATGATAATTTAAGGCATGGTAACGGTCGTCAACAGACTGATGTTACAAGAATATTTTTTTAGCATTTTTATGCTAACATCCGTTAACAATTAAGACATAATAACACGTCGAATAAATACTAATTCAGAAGGCAAACAACAAAAATCAGCGTTATATTTACAAAATTTCCACAGGACTAGTTTCGATGGTTTTACCGAACCACCATCCTCAGCTGCAAAACCGCAAAAAACGCTGATTTTTGTTGTTTGTCTTCTGAATTAGTATCCGTTAACAAACTCACTTTTTGTATGCAATATGAGAAATGGAGCTTAGACTAACGAATATTTGCATATCGGAAAAAGTGATTGACTATAAAATGAGAAAAATTTCCTTAATTATGTAATATTCTTATCTATGTTTTAGAGTGCGATTTTTTATCCAAATATTGTGTTTCATTTTGGCAGTTATTTGTTTCCGCCTGGAAATAATTAAAACACTTAAATATATTTAAAACTTAACCTAAGGGTGTGTAAAAGGTCACTCTAGTCAAAACTGTTTACTTGAATACAAATTTTGGAACTAGACGTGAAAGAAAGTAGTTATTTTTAATTTAATTTAATTTAATTTAATTCTTATTTATTTATTGTTTTGGTTTGTTTGTAATACAGTAATACCTCTATCCATGATCGATTTTTCCTACGAGAATCCTACTGAAATTATGCAGAGGATGCGGCATTCGGGTAATAAAAATAAATATACTAAAATTTCGTTGATTAATTACGCACTGTAACATATTAAGAATATAAAATACAATAGTAATAAAGGGTTGTAGAAAGGCCTACCTTTAAACTTTCCATTGTAGATTTATAGAACGCTTTCTCTCACACATAAGGAAAAAGATCTGCATTGCCTATTTATGATAGGGTTGAAGCTGCTGTGAATACACAACGCAGTATGCCTTTGACATGCTATATTTAATCACAGTATACAATTTTTTGCTCGAAGCACGTTTTATAATTTCTGAATCGGTGCCTCTATAATTTTTAACTTTGTTCCGGTTCATAATAAATTATGGATAATTGAAATTACCAAAAACTGCATCATAATTACATCAGTGATTTTGTACGTGTGATATCAGTTATAGTTTAGCATTATTAATTATGCCAATGATTAAATAACGAAAGAAATTGACTTGTGCTGATTTTATCGCATTGGTTTTGACTTGCATTTGTTTTATTTGACGACTTGTATTGGTATAAGTCAATTTGTATATAATTGTGCTGTTATTGGTATTACAATTCAGGCATCTTTAGCAATATTTGTATAGCTACAAATACCTGATAGTTTATGACAAAGTTTATAAACCAATAACATTTTTAAAAATATTACAGAAAAATTAGATATTTACCGTATATACCCGCGTATAAGTCGAGATATTTTGGACAAAAACAAAAAAAAAAAAAAAAAAAAAAAAAAAAAAGACTTCAAAGTGGGGGGGGGGGTCGACTTATACGCGGGGCCATAAAAAATTAAAAGAATCGGAAGTTCAAAAATTTCTTTATATAATGCAGTTGTTTTCTTCCCGCACTCAAATTGGACGACTTATCAAATAAGTCACTTACTTGAAGTAATTTCATGACTTAAATTATGTGACGAACTAATCACAGAGTTTCATACTTTAACTAGAGTAAGTTTCGATTAAACCAAAGAATTTTCGGCCCCCGAACAACCGATCAATATCGAGCAATAAAAAAGTTTCGCCAACACGCCAAGAAAAGAGAAATGCAGATAGTTTTACGTACGTTAAATTTATAAAGATCGTCCGTTGATCATTTTTAAAAGAAAAACTTTACCGAAAAACGTTGTGTTTCCATCAGGTGTGCTGGTTCGCGCCCATGAAAAGGGATGGATGGATGCTGACGGAACAGTCGATTGGCTTAAAAATGTGTGGGATAAAAGACCGGGAGCAGCTTTCAAAAAAACCTTCTCTTTTAGTATACGATTCTTTTCGTGGACACTTTTCTGAAGAAGTGACAAAACACCTAAAAACGACTGTGGCCGTAATTCCGGGAGGATTGACATCCGTCATTCAACCCCTAGATGTCTGCCTCAATAAGCCCTTCAAAGTAAATGTTAGAAAATATTGGGCAGAGTGGATTAGTTCCGGTCGACCAACATTTACAAAGGGAGGCAACATTAAAAAGCCCGATATTACATTAATTGCTCAGTGGGTTAAAGATGCTTGGAACGAAATACCCTCTGAAATGATTATAAAATCATTTAAAAAATGTTGTATTAGCAAAACGAACTAGACGGCACGGAAGATGATGCTGTTTTTGAAAGTGAAAATGACGACGAAGGCTCTAGTAGTGATTGTAACAATACAGAGAGAGAAAATGATGATGACGACAGAAGAGTTCTATGAAATGTTTGGCGAATCTGACCATGAATCGGACGTTGAAGGATTTTGATTTTGTTTATTTACCAAGGTATTTTTTATCGTATATTTACTTTTTTTTCTCAGATGATTTTGAATAAATGTAGTACTTAAAAAATTTTTTCGAAGTTTCTCAATCGATTTCGGAAGTGGGGGGGGGGTCGACTTATACGCGGTATCGACTTATACGCGGGTATATACGGTAATTATTTATTAATAAAAAATTAATAGTAAACGGTAGATAAAAATGAAATTGATAAAAACTTGTTTCATAGTTTTTATTACAACAGAGTACATAAACACAAAACATTTTTTAAAATATTACAGAAAAATATGATATTTAATTATTTACTGATAAAAATTTAGTATCAAATAACAGATAAAAAATGAAAACATGTTTCATATATTTTCTATAATGTAAAATTTTAATTAAAAATCTATCCAGCTTCGTGTAGATTATCAAATATTTCTTCTATTGGTTATGTAAATTAAAGCACCAATATTATAAAATTAAATACAATTTAAATAAAAGTTTCAATACGCATCTAATGAATCAATTTAACAATATACATTAACAATATACTTTAATTTAACAATAAAGAAAAACGTTAGAAATGAACATACCTGTAACACGTGGCTAGGAGAGCAAAAAATATAAATACACTTCCTACAATTGTAACCAAAACTATTACCAGCGAAGTTGTACTAAGTGTTGAACCCTTGGTTACTGAAAATAGAAAACAAAGTTACAGTTTATCGTAATTTGGAATTTTAAAATTAATATAACGTGTGTGCAGAATGTATAATAGTGTAACGCTACATCTACTTTTCAACAAGTTTGATATTAAAGAGTCATATTTTAATAACCTTTAAAAAATTGAACCCTTGGTTACTGAAAATAGAAAACAAAGTTACAGTTTATCGTAATTTGGAATTTTAAAATTAATATAACGTGTGTGCAGAATGTATAATAGTGTAACGCTACATCTACTTTTCAACAAGTTTGATATTAAAGAGTCATATTTTAATAACCTTTAAAAAATTTCAAAACTTTTGTCATAATAGTTTCATAATTTTGTCATAGCTGATAGTTTACTTAAATTTATTCTTGTTGAGTAAGATACTGTAGTTAATTTCATATTCACATAAGAGTTAACTTAGGCAATAAATTAATTGTTATGTGAATGTAAATAAATGGATGATGGCATTAATTTATTGGACGTATCGTTCACAAGACTGGTATGTTCAATACGTTTTTAATGCATTCTATTTTATTAAATTCATTTCATTTGCTACGCTACCAACATAATTCCAGTAAGAAATGTAAAGGAATCTCGCGCATAGAATATCCGTGTTGGAAGATGCACGCGCTTAAAATGTTTTTTCAATTATTCTGTAAGTTTGACTAATAAAGTCGGTTGTTCGAACAAAAAATGGCGAGATTTCTTTAAAACTTCATTATACAGATCATCAAATTTATGAATATTGCTAATATTTTTGTACAGTTTTTTTTATCCTGTCCATTAATAATATGAGAAAGTAAAAGGAGAAATTTTGACATATGAATTCGTAATTCCTTCTTGAGTTTTAGTTTTAACTGGGCTGCAAAATCTCAGAATTAAGGCAAGTTTTTTCTTCTTAATATTCGCCGTACCAAAAGTAGTTAATCAAAATTTTTAGATTGTTAATTTCGATTGAATATCATCTTTCTTTAACAGTTTAATCAAACTATAATAAAATGTAAACAATCACGAATTATTTTTTGAAATCTTAACGTGTTACGAATAACACTAACCAAAAAAGTACGTTCAACTGCAGCGTTCAGTTTTAAATGCGGAAAATAAGCGACAGTGGAAACGAGTCCTGACGGGAGTTCGGAGCTAGAAAGAGATATTGGGGTGGTGTGTGTGTGTATGGTGTATTTAATTATGGCAAAGCACACTAGGGCTATCTGCCTAAGGGGAGGGATGCCTTTCGTGGAGGACTTTCTAAGTTAAACTGGCTCGTATACACGTTACACAAACGATGGGGAAAACCACGAAAACGCCTATGCAGCCAGCCCGTTCGCAGGATTCGAACCTCGGACCGAACTACCAGTGTTCAGCGACTTTACCGCTCGGCCGCTGGTGGGCCCCAGAGATATTGGGGAAACATTTGTCCATCATGGAAGACTAATATCTGTCCTCTTTAAAAAATGAATGGTCTTTTTATAAAATAACGTTTAGTCTAAGGTTCAAGTTTTCCTAATTTCAAAATATTTCTATTGTAAATATTAAAAGAAATGCAGAAGTTTTAAAGGAAGCGAAATTATTTTATCTCATAATTCTATTATATTTTCAGTTTTCTTTTGAAGATATATATATGATGGAGAAAAAGAATTTATAATTATAGAATAAATATCGAGGATAAATTTATTTCGTTTTTGAGGATTTGACTGAAACTTATTTGGAAATTCAATGATTCAAAAATGAAATTTCAGTAAAAACGAGATTATCTTTATTAAGTATATATGATACGAGTTTAATGACGGTAAAAGTTTTAAATTTAAAACGATGTCCTTATATTTATTAGCAATTATATAAATTCCCGTGGGAAAATATCATATTCAGTTTTATGTGGTTTCTCATTTTGAGATGGAATAGTGAGATCATTAGTAGATGTTTATTTTTAAGAAGCTCCGAAAATAATGAAGAAACACAATTTACATTTAATTTATATAGATAAATCAAGCACTGGAAAGTTGACTGAAGAATGAAAAGTGAAAACAGAATTAAAAAATGAAAGAGAATTAAAAATTTCAATTATTTCAAGTAATAAATATCGTTAAATTAAAGTTATCGAGTTATTTATAAACATACTGGAAATATATAGATATATTTTGTAAAAGATGACACGCTTTATTTCGTGAAATTCTAAATACCTACTCTCAAATACGAAATATTTTGCCTATGAATATAAAATGTAACTTCCCATTTAGTTCTCCTAAGTATTATTCATAATATTCTAGTGACTGAAGCTGAAGGTTCTGTACCTCTGCATGGGAAATTCACTAATATATGTTTAAAAGTTGCTACAAATTTTTAACTACAAAAATGAAGACTTTTTTAAATGGCAGTTTTTTCCTAGAAGGACTCAGTACAAACTTCATTTTCAGTGAACCCGTACTCCCATAGTGTTGAATATTAAGTCTCACTTTAAGAAATTATATAGTGGCAGTTATGTACCGGTACTCTCTTCAAGAAAAAGGGGCCAGCTCTATATTTCTCACTCTACTGGGCCGATTGAAGAAATTTAATTTGCATGTTTCAAGTCTCCAAAACGCAACTTAGGACATATGTTATATTTATATATAACATTGTTCTAACGTAGATATTTTGACACAAAATTGGACTTTTTCTGAACCGACCGACTTTTTTCCATATTTCGATTCTATGACATAAATTATGCCTAAATATTAAATTCATAAAATTTGATGAGAAATTTAAAAATTTATCTTGGCGCACTTTTTTCAGTTTGCGCCAAGAATAATTCCTTTGGCGTCTTAATTTATTGTCTTATTTTAAAGTCTTAATTTATTGTAATCTGTCAACTTGCTCATGCATAGTGAAAGAGAAGCTCATGCATAATGCTATATATAAATCTAATGTATATATTAAATCGCGCTTTCAGCGCATGAAAAACGCAAATCAAATTTCGTCGATCGAGCCAGTAGAACGAGAGATATAAAACTGCCCCTTCTTTTGTGAGTCTCTGTGTGCAGAGTGTACATATCTGTTTAAAGACATGAAACTTGTCACCATCTTTTTTTGAAAAAACCTTGCAAAAATATGTATTAAATAAAATGCGTAAAAGTTTGTTAGCTTGATTTTAAATATATTTTATGTGAATTATGCTACAAAAAGAAAAAGAAAAAAGAACATGCAAATTAGAGATGAACAATGCTTGTAGAATAGCCAGTCTAAATTCATGTTGGTAAACTATGAAGTATCTATTCTCTTTCAGTTTTCCCGTAAATGAAACAAGAACCTGTTTCTCTCCGTTCAAGAACATAATAAACTAACATACAACGTTCAGCGCGACATTGACGCGATTAAAATTACTGCTATGGTCGTGGAATTAAAAGTAGCTTCATCACCAACGAAGGAACTCCTGATTGTTTTGTTCTTCCAGTCAGCGACGACGGTCTGTACGGCAGCTTCGGGGGTTGTGAAGAGATTGGGAATGGGCCCCAAACCTTCTGGATGTGCCCTCTCGTCTGCCCGCTGGCTGCAATCGTACGCTGTCCAACCACGATCGCAGTAACAACTGTTCAGATTTGAGCACACCTAGAAAAAAGATTGTGAGATGTGTACAAATCCGTAGTTGAAACATATTGTACAAACTGCTTAATGGGAAATTTTCACACGGAAATAAAGAGAAATGCAAGATGGGGCTATAGAATAACGACACTTGCTAGAAAACTCTGTGTTATGAAATGGGTTTTCTAAATACACACTATTAATTTAAAGAGTTTGAGTGGACAGCTATAAACCACCGAAGACATATTTTCAATTTTTGTAATATTGATGAAAATGTATACTGTGAATATTTTCAACTGCCAGTTACGAAATTTTCGATGTAATCTCTGCTGTTAACTCGATACCTTTTGAGGGGAAATTTTAATTTGTGGAAAAGAAAGAAATTAAGCATGAAAAGAACGAATAAGAGCAGTTTTATAGGAATGCTTTGGAATATCTGATAGGTTGACAGGTTACAGGCGAAAACATTGCGAGCGGAAACGTCGCGGAGAAAGCAACGCAAGGCGAAAACGTCTTCGAAAACATCGTAGGAGAAATGAAAACAAGGAGAAAACATCGAAACTTTAAAACATCGTAGTACAAACATCGTCGTCGAAAATAAAGCCATTCAAAAATTTCGCAGCTTAAAAACATAGAATATGCAGCATGTGAGTATGCAGTTACAACTTTTAAAGCCTGTAAAACACATGTCTGCGATGTTTTGTAGGCGCTATATTTTTCCCCACGATATTTTCTACAGCGATGATTTAAAACTGCTATGTTTTTGAACCTCTTTATTTCGACGACTATATTTTAAACCTCTTTGTTTTAGAACTGCGATGTTTTCCTCTTGCTTTTTTTCACCCACGATGTTTAGTACGAGGATGTTTTCTTCTTGCGTTGTTTTCTCTACAACGCTTTCATCCGCGATGTTTCGGCAAAGACCAGGATGACATCAACACTGTCATGCAGCAATATTATCTGTTTGTGATTTTTGGCTGCATCCTTTTTTATTAATATTACAAGAACCTCAAGGTACTAATGTGTAATGTGATAGTAATATGCTGTCCTTTCATATTATAAGATCGCAGTTATCAGAAAACGCTCATGCAATATGAAAAAATATTCTTTCCACAAGACATGCATGTATAACTTTCTGTTATCTTTCCTTTACGTTTTCATTAGGTCACGAAACATGTGATAGACCTAAGCTAATAACGCACGTATATGTATATGGCTGTAGATCGACATCTAATAATTAATAGGAAATCACAATTGCCACACTTTATAGCTAAAAATGTTTTGTAACTAATCGATGTTATGATGTCATTTCCTTGGTTTATTGTTAATTATCGACGATGTTCTATGATTCAATAGTGCAGTTTCCGGATATTAATTCCCGGATTCCTTTACATCGAAAACGTCATATTCCGACCTACATCCATCCGTGAGATGATTCATAATTCCAATAAGTTGAAGAAGATAGTTTGACAAAGTAGGAATCAAGCTAGACTTTGGTTAAGAATTTTAGGTAGTTTGATCTGCAAATAAGCAGGAGAAATAGTGACCAGTCTAAAAACATAAATTCTTTTAATTGTTATATTTTTCTGTTTTAAATAAAGTTCTGAATTATTCTCTCACTTTGAATTCAGGCTTGATATTTCTTAGTTTCTAATCAGTGAACCAAGCAGTTCATAACCAGTTCGTTCATGCTTTATATAGATACCTAAAGTTCTGTTAAAATTTCTGACAGCTGTCATTGAACCAGAGACTTGTACAGGTGAAAGGCATTACTTAAATACATATTTCTTGATTTCGTAACTGTTAGGAAAATAGTGAAAATTAACCATATGATAAGGATGATAAAAAAAAAGTTAACAGAACTTTTTCTTTGTTTTAAAGCTGAAGATTATGGTCACCCGTATGCAAGGTTTTTCATGCATGATTATTTTTTCATTCACAGAATTCTCTAAAAACTTACCAGAAAATATTACAAATTCTGAAGATCTCGTAGTGAATTTAGAAATGTGTAAATTTTTAAACGGCTGACTGATTATTTTTTTTCTTGCTAAATATTAAAAGCTTTATAACAAAAAAGAATTATATTTCTCTACTTGCAGTTAATTTTGTGAAACAGTTTTACAAAATAAAATATTTAAATTTAAATGTTATTAAAACAGATTTTTTTTCGAATAAAATTTCGAAATTTAATTAGCATTTTTTCCCTGGGTTTTAGTAATAACTTCGAAAGTAATCAAAGTATCAATAGACAACATTTTTACAATTAACATCATTTCTCAGCTTTGATATTGTTCTTTTAAATTATTTCTGTTTAAACGAAGACTCTTTTTTTATAGTGAATCTATTACTATTTTATTATTAATGTTGGATGATTTGTCTCAGGTTAATAAAAGCAATTTTTTAAAATTAAACTAAACAATATTCTGATCTTGAGGTAAAAATTACTCGAAAACGTTCCCAAGAATTTAAAAATAACAGTAATAATAATAATATAGAAAAAAGGGGGAATGGACGGATTCTGTAAAAATGGAATTATTGCATTCTGTATACGAAATTTTTATAAACTTCTTTATGAAATTAAGCATGTCTTGATAATGTTATGCAAGACTATTCCATCCAAGTATAGTAATTTTATGATCAAACTAAATTTTCTTCTTCCACTTGATTATTTCGAGAATCAAACAACATCATCAACATCATCTTATTTTCATCGTAATGAGTCACTTTATTAAAATATTAATTTTATTTTGAGATTTTTAACTAAACTTTTGGCACTGAAAGGAAGTGATAGTTAAGTTTTGCTATCCAGGTTACAAAAATGTCACAACGCAGTATGCATAAACCTTTGCTTTTAGTATTGCTATTCATTAAATCTAAGAAAATATTATGAGATGAAAATGAGGTAACGGTTTTATATTCCATAAAACTGTTTTTAGAAAACTACAAGTTTTTAAAAAAATACAGAGGCTGTTCGCCCATTTTTTAGACGATTTTGGTAAACGGCAATAAAAAATCCTTTGCTGCAAAAGACGTAATTGCAATTGTATACTATGTTTTTAAAAGTCAAAATTATCGTCTGTGGCTTGGAAGTTTTGTTTTTATTCAAAATGGCGAATTTAACAAAGCAGACTACATTTACGCTTTTTCCGAAGAGAAATATGCATACTCCATTATCCAAAAACGATGTGAAAGTCATGGTTTTGTGATATCTAAAGCGTCGATAGGTAATATCATCAACAAGAAAGGAAAAGAAACGTCAAATTGGAGCCTCAAGTGGGACAGAAATTCCAAACAATTATCCAAGGAAAAAACGGGCATCTTCGACTATTGCAAAGGTACGTTGTTTAATGTTAAAAGAAAATCCCCCTAGTCAAAGGACAGTTGCAAAATAATTAAAATGCTCGGTGTTCATTGTAAACAAAATGATAAACGTTGATTTAAATTTTAAGAAAGCGAACAAACGCAATGTGCATGCATCGTCTTCTTCCAAAGCATATCGCTCAACGCAGGACACGCTGCAGAATTCTATATGAGAAACACTTATCCAAAGAAAAATGGAAAACAATTGTCACAATAGATGAAGCATGGGTGTATTTAAATGATTGTAACAAAAAAGAGCCATTTATTATCATAAAAGGAGAGAAAAAAAATTAAGTACATGGTTCAAAGAATCGAAAGAAAGTTTTTCTAAGGGATTCATGATTGTTGCTGGTTTTTCTTATAATGGCAAGTTAAAATTAAAGAGAGTGCAAAAAAAGTCAAGATTAACTCAAAATACTATCAGAAACATATTTTATTGCCAATTTTTCTGAATGAAATACCATCGCTTTACCCACAGTGCCATCAATCGTTGAGACTCCATCAAGACAAAGCTAGCAGTCACACATCAAAATCCACTGTAAATTTCCTAAAAGAAATGGAACAAAAAACTGGTGTCAAGGCCATACCCTTCACTGATATCCCTACTAAATCTCCCGATGTGTCACCTATGGATTTTTGTGCTTTCGGACTTTTAAAAACTGCATTATCCAAACGTTGTCCCCAAACCCTAACAGGACTCTGGAAAGGTGTTCGGGAGGAATGGGATAGAATACCTCTTCTGCCACTTCAAAAGGATCCTGGAAATTGCGGTGTCGAAAGATAGTTCAAAATAAGGGATGTCAAATAGAACATTTAAAACACATGAATTTTATGTAATTTAGTTTTGTGAATACAATAAACATCGTCTAAAAAATGGGTGAACAGCCTCTGTATATGGTAGTAAACAAATTTTTACTTTGCATTAAAAATGTCGTTTCCGGAGCAGATTATTAATACTTTGCATTAAAAATGTCGTTTCTCTTTAAATGAATTGTAACTTACCCCATGTCCGGAGCAGATGTGGCCCAAGTGAGATGTGGGACAGTTTCCAGGTTCAATGAACTGTGTCACGCTGACGCATGTTTGATTGACGCAGATCTGAAAAACATAAGTAAAATGAATGCTTAACCTGTCTCCTTTAGAAGATTAATTAAATATTAAAAAAAAAACCATAACTTAACTGATATATTGAAAAATCAAATAATTTTTCTTATTAATTTTAAAATCAAAACATTTCTTTAATGCATGGAGGTTGCAACATATTATGCTAGTTCTTGTTGAATAGTTTTCTTGTAGACATATTTTGGTGCAAATTCAAAAAGTAATCCTACTCCTATATCTTCCCACCCCCAAAATTATAGAAAGTAATAAAAATGTACCTTTTCATCAGCACATTTTGTTCCGTCTCGAACCATGCCCAAGTCAGGAATATCGGGAACACTTAGAGTACCTCCGCTTACTCTGTAGAAATAAAGATAAAAGATTTTTCATCACAAAAAATATGAAAGTGGAGTAAATAGCATACAGTGCAAGAATACCTGAATAATAATAAAAGCAAACTGTATACCCACTCTTGCTCATCAAAATCACTGTGAGATCGAATTCCTTTTTACTTCCTTGTACGAAGTAAAAAGGAAGTATTGTAATCGCGAAAAGTTTCAGGCAGCATATTTCAACGAAAATATCCATTTTGACCGCTATCGAATGCAATTTAACGATGTTTTTGCGTGATATCTGTACGTAAGGACAGAATAAAATACTCTTTTCATTCAAAAAATTATAAAACTGCTTTAAAATTAATTCTGAAGAGAATTTTTCGTGGCATCTGTACGAACGTATGTACGTACGAACGTACGTACGTATCTCGGATAACTCAAAAACGAATAGTCTCAGTACGTTGAAATTTTGTATATAGGACTGCTATAACTTGTAGACGTGCACCTCGTATTTTGGTTGCAATCGGCCGCACCAAACGTATATAAATATATTTATATATATATCCACTCTGTTACCCGGCTCAGTGATCTCAGTTTCTTTACTCTTATATGTTTGTAAATTGTGCATTTTTTGCTTTGAAAGTGACTGAATTATGTTGTTCTTATCTTCCGGTTAAGGGTTTTATGCCTTTAGTAAATCTGTATGCAATATTTTTAGAATTATCAATAATTTTAAAGTTGTTTAAGTGCCACTAAGCCTAATAACATTTTTGATGGCGGCCATTGCTTCTTTACATTTAAAACAGCAAGATAGTGGATTTGTTGCCAAGCTAGAGGAACTTAGCTTCGCAACAACAAAGATAACGCGTTCATTTATTATTGCCAATTAAATCATGCTTAATTCTTTCTGGAATTTTTTCGAGGAAATAAGTGTTTGAGATTTACTTCGTAATTTTTAATATAGATATTTTGAGATTTTATGCATTTTTGCCTCGCGAAGTGAGAACTGAATTAATTGAATGAGAAATACTCAATCGTCTGTGAAAAACTGTCTCTTTTTTGCTTTGTTTGCTTAATTTCTTTTATACATCATTCTAGCTTTATTATAGTATTTGAATAGAACATGTGGCAACGATTAGATAATTCTATTCTTTAAATGATATAAATTTTGTGCATTATGAGTTATAATATGAACGAAATATATAAGTTAACTGTTATATAAATATTGGATTATATAACAGTTAACTTAGTTTCCATTATATAATTATTATATAAGTTAACTGTTATATAATTATTAATACTGTCAAGTGAATCTAGCGCCAGAGTGTCGCTATGGTAAACAAATACTAGAGTGAATTTTAAAGAATGCATTTATTCTATTGTGGTTTATGCGCTGTCGGCGAAGTAGATTTAATTCAATCCAGTAAGTTTAAATGAAATACAATAAAAATGCGTATAATTTAATATTCCCTACAAGGAAGTCATGTGGTGTACACATCAGATTTTTTTAACTCCGTGGAGTCCATATAACTATACGGAGTATACAAAGTCCGTATAAATATATAGAGTGTAGCTATGTAGAGCTTGGAGTTCGTATAAGGTGTCATGGAGGAGTCATAGATAAGGATCCTCCGTGACTCTTTATCCTCTTTTTCACTCCGTGAGGAGGGGTTAGATAAGGTATTGAATCCCATTGGACGAATTCTTTAAACTGGCGTAAAGCCTTACCAGCCTGCCTTCTTAACTTCCGGTCGAAATCTGATTATATCTGCCTTGCCTTCCAGGAGGGCATTTAACCCGGAATCGAGTTTGTGTGTACTTCGCCGATCAAAACCGATCCATTGAGTTGATATGTCAACGAGCATAATAAACGAGCTCGGAGGGATGAATATCTGAAATCATTCTTTGAGAATAAAAATTCTTGTTATTTTGTTAAGAGATCGTTATTTAAGTTATTAATTAAGTAAGGCTGATTAAAAGTAGAGGTGTCATAAATTACAAAATTTTCTAGAATCCGAAATTTTTTGAATAATTCAAATCTTAAAATCTTCGAGTTCTTTATGTAAGAACGATCACAAGAAGGGGAGAGAAAGAAAAAAAAATTCTTTATTAGCAGTACAGTGTGTGTGTGTGTGTGATTATGGCAAGGCCTCGAGGGCTATCTGCCTAAGAGGAGGGATGCCTTCGTGGAGGACTTTCTAAGGGAAACTGGCTCGTATACACGTTACAGATGGGGAAAGCCACGAAGGGCCCATGCAGCCGGCCCGTTGGCGGGATTCGAGCCTCGGACCGAACTACCAGTGTTCAGCGACTTTACCGCTCGGCCGCTGGTGGGCCCCTTTATTAGCAGTAAAGGAGCATTGTTAGCAATGAAGTTAGGCAGTATTTATTAGCAGTGTAACAAAAAGTATAGCAGAATTTTTAATTAAAGCAAAATTTGAAACCTGTATTCAACGAAAGGAAAATTTAAGATAACACTTTTTAAAAATGCACTGGCATTTATTTAAAAAAAAAGAAAAAAAAAAAAAAACTAAATTTAGTAAATGAAGTCAGTAAATAAAGCTTTTTTATCGCAAGGTTAGGGCTTATCAGAGGGCACACTAGGGTTATCTGCGTAAGTTAGGCAGTATTTATTACTGGGGATGGCAAGCATTCCTAGAGGACTTTGTGAGGGAAACTGGCTCATATACGCGTTACACATGGGGAAAACCATGAAAATGCCCACGCAGCCAGCACCTTCGCCTGGAATCGATCTAGGTCAAACTACAGGTGTCCAGTAATTTTAGCGCTCAGTCGCTGGTGAGCTGCTGAGACTTAGGATGTACAGACTAAGGATGTATATTACATTTGCATATAGCATTGTTCTGACGTAGGTATTTTGACTCAAAAGCGTTCTTTTTCTGAAATGAAATGTCCACTTTTTTCCTATTTCGATTTTAAGACTCAAATTATGCTAAATATTAAAATTTGTTAAACTTGGTAAAAATTCCATAATCGCCAAGCTTGGCGAGAGTTTTTTATTTGGCGCGATTTTAATTTGGTTGTGGTTTCCGCCTGTATGTTTTCTTGTGGCAAAACCTAGAGCTTTATTTCGGTAACTGTAAGAGCGCGAATTTAGTGCAGCCGGATTTTTTTTTAAAATTTAATTTTGAAATACTGTGTTTGTTTTTAAAAGTTTTACTGTTTAATATTATATTTATATAAATATTTGCAGAAGGTTAAGCTGTTGTTGGTGGGAGAATGTTGGATTTCATATGACATGAAGTTTGTAATTTATGAATGTTTTCATTTAATTTTATTCAGTTGATATTTTTTTTAGTTTAGTTTCTTGCATATGGCAATCGAAAGATGAGGAACATTTAAAGCTTTGAACAAAAGTTGTTTAGTGTGTTGAATTCCCCGACGATAGTAACTTGAATATTTTAGTTAGTTTATGATGCTGAATACGCATAATTTGCTTTCTGTTTACGTGTAAAACTGACTTCGCAGTGCTCTGATTTGATAAGTGTATACATTTATTTACTCAATAATTATTTACAAGAATTGTTCATTCTACTATTTTATAATGAATTACATATATATAGACTATTCTTTTACTTGCAAAGCTGTTGGACTTCATTTTACTCATCTAGTATTTTATCATCTCATTTTACTATTCTGTTTACATAAAATAACGGCGTTTCACTACTGCAAAACTTAAAAGTTACTATCCTGTTTACGTTTAAAAATCACATTTTAGTACTTTCATTTAGCGCACCTAAAAAATTCGCCAAATTTTGAAGGCCAAAATAGTTTGGCGCCAACTTACCCCGCTTATGGAATTTTAGCCACATTTTGATATCACAAATTAGTTTTTAAATTATTAACACGAAAGAACAAGAAAGCAAAGACTCACGCTATGCTGTATCCTGCAGCTCTGGATTTATTGCTGTGAGAAGTGTCAAATTTCTGAACTGCTCTGAAATAGAAATAAATCACTAAATTGACTGAATTTAATAAGAAGAGCAATAAAAATAATTACTTTTCGTCAAATTTAGAATTAAATAATATTTTCTTCATAAAATGTTTTGAAATGTTTCTTGGTAGCCTGGTTATTTTCTAAGCAGATTCTTCGGATTGTATACTTTAAGGGATATTAAAAAATCCCAGATTGTAGTACAAGCATACACATGAAAAACAGTTCTTTTTGCGGGAATAGTAGAAAAAATAAGAGAACAAAATTATTAAAATATTAACCTTTTTTTTAATACCAGCTGTGTCTATTATGTTCTTTACTAGCGGAAGTACCCGATCCCAGTTAAGTTAGTTTGAGAGTAATTCATTTAACAACTGAAAGAACGATACCACTATAATCCTTCTCTAGTAACGATGCAAAAAATACGATTAATAATCATACATTTTTCACTCTGATACGATACGGAATCCACGTAAGAAATTTCGATAGAAAAATAAGCTAATTCTCTCTCATTATATCAGCAACAATGGCACACAGTTTTTAATAATTTTCGTCCTTCTAATCGAATGGTCGTTAAAGCTCAAGTTCCATACATACAATATTTCATCCATATTCAATTTTAGTCGATTAAATGGGACAAAATATTGATCATAATTGATCAAAAATCAACAACGCGAAAAAACAAACACACACACAAACAGGCATTCTTTATATACATAGATTTTGTAAAACTTACAAGTTTTTTAATTAGTTTTAAATTAGCATTTCGGCTGATTAAAAAGTAGTATGAAGATGGGAACAGTTGAAATGGCTTCTCACGAATTTTTGGAGATTTGGAAATAATGTATTTAATGTTTGGCAACGCTATTTTTATTTCATCGTAAAACTTGGAAATTTTTCATTAACAAACTCTAGGATTTGAAAGCTAGCAGTGGCAACAACTTTCGAAATAAAGCAGATTTTCATCTCCAGCTTGCGAGACTGTTGCCACTCGGAAAAGTGAGGGTGTAAATTATTGCTTGTCCGAGTTTAAATTAATATCTCTGATTTTAGTTACTTTTTTTGCAAAAAGAGTGGACGTCGCCCTTTTCCAGGACCCAAAAAAGTAACTGTAGAAAGTTTGGTGACGATAGCTATAGTAGTGGCTGAGTTATTAGAGGACAAACATACAGACTTTCTTCTTTATATATATATATATAGATATGCTAAACGCTGATGCACGACACAAGTAGTAAGCGTCTGTACTCGTGCGGCCAAAGAATGCCGCTCCGGAAGTAATTACGTAACAGAACAATAGGTGACGTAAGAAGAAGACAATGGGTCCTCATGTTTGATGTGATGCCGCTTTCATCTTGGATCACGTGACAAGCGGAAGGGACGTAGATGGGTTCGAATGATTAGATAGGTTTGAATGACGACAGCTTTTATTTTTTGGTGGTAATGATATGCTCTCAAAGTTTTATTTTGTGCAACGACAATATTTTTCAAAGTTTCATTTTTATGGCAAAGACGAATTTTTTTTCGGTTTCATGGTAACGATCTCTTAAACCACGTGCTTGAGATGACATTCATTTTATTTTCCTTTACTATTTTTAATTATTTAATATGTGATTATCTTTAATTATTTAGTGCATCATTATTTTTAATTATTAATGTTATTTTTAATTGATTCTATTATTTAATTTAATATAGTAATTTTTAATGAATGAAATTTTGTATAATCGCACGAGTTGTAAAAATTCCTCACAGGTAGGGTACGAACCTGTCACCTATCACATGGGTGACAGGAGCGAACCCATTATTCTCTTCTTACGTCATCTATTTTCCTATTACGTAATGACTTTCTGGGCGGCATCCTTTGGCCGCAGGAGTACGGACGCTTACTACTGGCATATTGTTTAGGTCATTGTTGCCAAATATGTAATTTTATTTTGCATCAATAGGAAATTAATATTTTCTTAAAACCTATTGTTGAAAATGATCTTTTTTCTCTGAAAATCCATTGTGGAAATCTATGTGGAATTAGTGTATTTTTTAATCTCTTTAAAGAGCTTAAGCTACGATGTTAAGAAACTGATGTATAAGCAGTGCATTCTACCTTTCATTTCGTATGAGTATCGTGCTTGGGGACATGTTCTTGCCAAGAAGGTTAACAAAAGAAATTTAAGAAAGATTCAAAGGAGAATTCTTCTTCCTATTATTAGTGGTTATAGAACCATAAGCTACGAGGCTACTTTTGTTCTTGCAGAAGTTCCGCCTATTGATTTTGAAATTGCATATAAGAATAATATTTTCGAGTCATTGGAAACTGATACTTTGGAAGGCTGTATTAGTGGAATTGTCCCCTTCACTGATCTTCCTCATCCCGCTACTTTAGAACTCATAAATTTCTGCTATTATAAAGAGAATACTGAAATGAGTTTTCATATGGTTTTCTTTACAGATGGCAACAAGATGAACAACAAGGTTGGCCTTGCATTTGTTCTTTTTGAAAGCCATTCCGAGGTTTGTTCTTTTAGACACTGTATACGGAATGAATGCACAGTTTTTCAAGCAGAATTTATCTTGTCGTCAAATGCATAAAGGATAATAGGACACATTCTCAAGGTACTTTTGTGTTCTGTTTCTCTTTCTTTTCTTCAACTGTTGAACGCTATTACCAGCTGCGACAAATTAGTTATCGAAACCCTAGTTATTGTTAGTTCATTTAGAAATAGAGGAATTGATATTCGCTTTGCTTATGTGCGTGCTCATCATGGTTTCTATGGAAATGAAAGAGCTGGTTTCTTAGCTAAAGATGCCTTAAATTTACCCATTGATATCAACATTAGCATTCCAAAGATCTATTGGAGGTCCTTTCATTATAAGAAGCTTTTAGCTATGTGGAATGAGGAATATATTTCATCTTGTAATGCTAAGGTCACCAAAAAGTTCTTTCCTTCAATTTACCATAGACTGCTATGCTTACAGAACGATTTGAAAATGTTCGGAGTGTATTGGTCAGTGAACTTATCTGTTTTCGTGAAGTCCAGACTGCTGTTCTCTGCTTTTGTTCGTTTTATTTATGCTTGTAACTTTTACTGTTTTAGTTAACTTACTTCTGTAAGCCCAGTGTTGTACATCTGTGGTGCACGGGGAGTCTGTATGTTTTCAAAGAAAAAAAATAAAAAAAAAAAAAAAAAAAAAAAAAAAAAGGGTAAATATAATGTGCGAGAAGCAATGACAATATATGTTTTATTATTATTTTTACAACTGCTTTCTGTGGAAATATGAGTTTTTGTTATGTGTTACTAAAGCGGATCTTTGCTGTTTCCGAATGTTGGATTATCAGGAATTATTTTTATTGCGACCGATGTGTTTAATTTATCTATCAATGCTGCTACGAAGACAGTTCTATCCAGAACAGGATGTTCCTTGAGGAGATTACAAATTTTTCGCCAAGCTCATGCGTCAAGGAGAAGAAAAATTTTCAGAACGGCAAGTTACTGCCAAATATCTGAAATAGCAACAGATCAATAAAATTTTAAATACAAGGAATATGAATTAAAAAGAGTAACAAGTATAATTTAGAACTTGTATTTAGTTTGTTTCCTAATTTACTATTTCGTGGTTTTTAAATAATTTTAATGTACTTTGAAAATTAAAGATACAGGCTATCCGTATTTTTTTATACTTCCTGCTTCGATAAAGAAGGATGTAAATACATTTTAAACTGTCTTTAGTATTATGCTTTAAAACTTTCCTGTCATTCTTATAGCAATAAACATTTGTTCTTTGAAAAAATTTTCTAAACTAACCTAAGCGCTCATTCATTGAAGAATTCGCACTTTCATTCCAAATTAATTCATCATCCCTATTTTACTTAAAGGCATTTCTTGTAATATAGTTTCGCAAATAATTTAAAAAATTAAATTCAATTAACACTCACATTTAATTTCCAAATACACTGCAACGACGACGGAAGTGGATGATTTTTCACTTTTATAAAACACCTCTACCATGGATACTTTACCCCCTGCTTTTATACGCAAAAACAGTTTATCAAATGGGGGGCAGAATGCAAGATATTAATCAAATAGTTATTCAAAAATTGTTCTGTGTTTGTCTTATCCCGTGCTGGAAATGCTGATTTGCATTAGCAACAAGACCTTGAAGATGCCATATTAATATAACAGTTTTATTTTATTTTTAAGTATGTAAGGTTATTATTTGAAGCTAATCAGTTATTTATAATTTCATCCTTAACTATAATTTCCCATTTCCGTTTCCTTACTAGATGGCAAATCAGTTAGCTGAGCTTTTTTGATTGTAAGACAAAGCGTGTTTCTGCCTTTCGTGGGCACGTTTGATTAGTTCTGCGAGCTCTTATAAGTTTGTAATTACTTTGCTTTGTGCTATTGCTTACGACATTTGAATTTCTTCCGTTGGTTAAAAGTTGTGAGCCAGCTTAGATTTAAAATTTAATTGTGTAGTCTTTGACAACTATTCTAAGTTTTAAACTGGAATTTAACTGTTATTTTAATTGCACTGCAACGAGTTGTGTTGGCTTTATTAGCACAAGAACGTGTATTTATGATCTAAGGTTAGAAGTTTACGTTATCTTGATAAAGATCTTTAACGAAAATTAAATAAAAAGTTTATTTTAAACTTTTACAGGTCTCTGTAGCTACTTCCAGATATAGAGATAATTCTAGAGTTTTGGACTGGTTAACGTTTACGAAATAAATATATTTGTTTGCATTCATCGGCTGAACGTTGTACGGGCCCAAATGGGATCTTTTGCCACACCCTCCATATAGCCCCGACATCGCTCTTTTGGACTTCCACTTTTTTTTTCACACCTTGAGCTGCATTTTGCTGGTGCTAATTTCTATTCTGCAGAGAACATCCGAAATGAGTTTGAACTGTTTTTGGACTCGCGCCCGCCAAGTTAACGGGCCGAAGGTTTTGAAAAACTGCCAAATCTTTGGCAGAAAATCATAGATTTGGGTGGCAATTACTACCCGCACTAAAGGTACAGCTTTCATGTTTTTTTTTTTTTTTTTTTTTTTAACTTTTCTTTTGGAACTGGTGGAAATAAGAAGGTGGAAATTTTCTGGTAGAATTAAGAACTCTTCTGATGGAAAATTTTCGTTACAACCGGATATATGTATATAATTTCTAATTTCAGATTACAAAGACAGCTATAGACAGAACAAGCAAAGATGAAAGAAAACAGCAAAACTTAAAAAAAAAAAAAAAAAAAAAAAAAAAAAAAAAAAAGGGTCTACAGTATAATCTGTAAATTTAATTATGTGTCTTGCCTCCCAATATCTCTCCCAGAGTACTCGAGAATTAAGTGCAGGGTAACGCCTCAGATGTGAGGCATCCATTTCCTCATGAAGGTTCTACACACACACACACACATACATATAAACTTAAAGCACCTAAATTAATTAGTAAATTAGAATAAAAGCAAGGCAGTTCCTCTATAATATAATAATTGCAATCGTGTGTAAAAAGTTTAACACAATATCAAAACTAATTCCATTAAGGGGAGAATTCATAATAGAACATTCTAGAAAAATAAAAATGCGAAAGGGAAAATATACAAATTATACAAATAAAAATTAATCTCCGTTGACTGAAACTCCAATTCAGAACTCATCAGGGGAAAATAAATTAATGCTTCTTAAAAGTCGATTAATATGTTTCGAAAATGTGTTTCGTTCTTCTGGTGAACTTGAGATCAAAAACCGTAAAAAAGATTTCATCAAATTTTTATTAAAGACTTCATATAAAACCTAAACCTCGAATCTCAAATGTACCAGAATTTTTCCTACACATTTTTGAAACACTTGGAGAAAAGAGTAAAACATTACATAGTGCCAAAGGGACAATTAAAAAGACCATAGAACTTTGCATTATGTACATTGAAATTAAAAAAAAAATGGTCTACCAACCAACATATGCTAATCCGAAACCAACATATGCTAATCCGAAATTCTAAATCAGGTATAAATAAAGTGAAAAACTAACTGTCATTTAAACAAACTAAAAGATCGAGAGGTCCCCGATTATTCTAAACTAAACTTTTAATATCAAGAAAACGAAAAACTGTACTCGGAGACTTCTATAAATAAAAAGATTAAGTCTGAGCTTTAAACAGCTAAAAACAGAAAACTGATTTGAAACAATAATTGAAAAACGCAAACTTACTGAAATCTTAACACGACCTTCTATGCGTGATCTAACTGAATTCTAAAGATGTCCAAGCGGTATTCTTGCTAAAGAAAGTAGAATTCAAACTGCGCTGGAGAAGCCGAAATTTGCAGTTCTTGGAAAAAGTATGTGACAAGATTCAAACTGTCCAATAGCAGAAGTAATTTAACATGTGTTCAAAATGTCCTACCCTGTTATATTTTGTGTGCGGGGGTGTCAATGGTCGGGTGTGGTCTATAAAATTATTACCGACGAGGAGGGGTGGTGGTCGTCTACTTAAAATGGCTGCGTAAGAAACTTCTAAAAGATACCCACCCTCTTAACCCAGATTAAAAGTTTTATCCAGTCGTTTTCTGCTCAAGTTTCGTGCGGTCGTAGTCATATGCTTGCAGTTACAGAAGTGTTTTAAATGACGAAAATATTCCTGTTTTGTCAATATCAAATTAAAAAAAAATTAATTTTCGACAAATAATGAAATGTCTCGTTTTAATGCGATCTCCCGGTTACTGCACTTATATTTGGTAAAGTTCTAAGATCTTTATGAAAAAGTAAAACTAGAAGTTTGACTTCCTCGAGACAAAAATTAATCGGGATATTTAAATTCGGAATTTGCAATTTTTGATGTAATTTCCGACTTGCTCCGAGAAATCGATTAGTTAAGTTAGAATACTTGGTTACAGCCGAAAACATCGCGGACGAAAACGTCGCGGAGAAAACAACGCAAGGCGAAAACGTCGTGCTACAAAACATCGTGGGAGAAAACATCGCAAAGAGAAAACATCGCAGTCCTAAAACATCGTGGTACAAAACATCGTCGTCGAAAATAAAGCGGTTCAAAAACTTCGCAGTTTAAAAACATCGTCGTCGAAAATATCGTGGTAAAAAATAAAGTATCTACAAATCATCGCATGATGATAACATAGCAGACATGCTTTTTTCAGGCTTTAATAACTGTAAATGGATATTCCTATAATGATTTGTAAGCGCAAGATGGAAAGAGGGATAATTTTTACTTTCATATTTTTATTCACTAATAAATTTTTGCTGATAAAATAAGAAGGAAACTTAAGCATAGAAAATTAATGCAACTTATAGCACTCAATAGAATTTTAAACCGACATAGTTCACTAACAAAGGCCATTAATAAATCATTTTTATAAAGTTTTTACTGGTGATTTTTCATGAAAAGTATAATCTATACGTTGCATTTAATTAATTAATGCAATAATTTAACTTTTTTAGCAAAAATGTATTAGTCAATAAAAAACTGTGAAAGTAAAAACTAACCTTCTTTACATCTTGCGCTCACAAATCCTTATGAGAACCATATTTCCATTTACAGTTATTAAAGCCTTAAAAGAGCATGCTTGCGATGTTATCGTCATGCGATGATTTGTAGATACTTTTATTTTTTACCACGATATTTTCGACGACGATGTTTTTAAACTGCGAAGTTTTTGAACCGCTTTATTTTCGACAACGATGTTTTGTACCACGATGTTTTAGGGCTACGATGTTTTCTCTTTGCGATGTTTTCTCCCACGATGTTTTGTAGCACGACGTTTTCTCCTTGCGTTGTTTTCTCCGCGACGTTTTCGTCCGCGATGTATTTGCCGCGATGTTATCGGCGGACACCAGAATACTTGGAGGAAATAAATTTAAATGAAATGTAACAAAAATTGTGTATAATTTAATAGGCTGTACAATGAACTCCTGTGGCGTTCGCATCAGATTTTTTATGCAGACGGTAATAACAGATGTTCGAAATTGGATTTAATGAAAACATTCTATTGTTTTCTAGAACGTGATTATTTTAAAAGCATGCAGTTCTGCCATTTTATGGTATAATTTGCTTGGATTATATGCGAACCGATAATGAAATCTCAGCACTTATGCTCTAGTTCTAAAGTCGTCAAAGGGTCTTACTTGCACTCGTATTCTGCTCCACCAAGGTACACTATTGTCCTCGAGTACTGCTTGTCCATACCTGGTACCAGAGGAGTTCTGGACCCTCTTTGGCACTGAAGCGAACCGCATCGGACATTTCTGAAAAAGGAAGTCTTGCAAATTACAGATTCTACAGATATAGAAAAAATGGTAATTCAAATAGAATAATTGTAATTGATATCGAAGTTGCATATTTTTAATTTGAGTCTAATGCTCGTATTTCAAAAATAGCTAAAAATTCTTATTTTCAATAGCTTTTATCACATATGCTATGAAATATTGGCATGTATGAAAATGTGTATGATATTACATGAAATAAATTTTTACCTACTAGTAATTATTTTGCTATTTAGCTTTTTAAGGATTATTTATATCAGCGGATAAATAAAATAATCGGTTAATAATTTTAATCTAAATAAGTTGTTAACTTTTACTTTCCGTTTTCCAACAGAAATAATAAATCAAAAATTAAGTTTATGTGAAGTAATATTTAACTCAACTACGATCACTATATAACACTACTAGAGTAACATAATTTTTTAACTGTACATTAGACACATTTCCAAAATACAGCATTAATAGAGCTTTTCATTCAAAATCATTATCGTACAAAAATTAGACTTCTATTATTAGACTTTTCAAATATTGGTAGTCTTCTCTAAGGACATTTACTTAAAAGAAACTTCCTCGAATGAACATAAATCTATAGATACACTGGTAGGTTACTGTGCAGGCAAGCCTCCACATTTATTCAACCTCAAGTGTGTTCACTGCGACCGCTGAATGACAAAACGAAATTGAGGGCTACAACAGGTTTCTCTTTCTTCTGCTCGTGGGCTCCGAAGGTGTAGGACGGCTTCTGGCTGTCTACACCCTGGCTGATGCGTCTGCCATTTTTGTTCTTTTTTCGTCCGTTTTTTAGACTGCCATCTCGGTTTCTGGATGTAGAGCCATGGTATTCCTTCTAGTAAAGAAGTTGGAACTGAAGATACAACTAAAAAGATCTATATACCTAACAACTGCTGATAATTATTAATGTTCTACAATTTAAAAATCTTCGAAAAGACTTCATGTGCACGTGCTAGAACATTCCGGATCATATAAGTATTCGCCTTGTGCTTCTTCAAAAATATATTGGAATAGCCAGCTAACTCAATTTTCGCCATTAAAAAATTTGACTTTTTTTTTTTTTCACGAAACTTTGCTTTACGTTGATGGAATGAGATCTACTTTGATTGGAATACAACGCACAAGTCACACGAGAGGTTAGGCTTCAAAATTGTAGGACTGATATTCTTCTGTCTGGCCGATTATTGCTTAATTTATGCTAGTACTGATTCAAAATTTGATGATGTCAAGATATAATAAATATTAATTGATTTGTATTATTTGAATTGTCATGTTTTGTTACTTTAATTTTATATTTCTTTTAGATCACACACTTCTATTTTGCTACAGTTACAGGAGAAAACATAGCGATAAAGTCATCGCGGAAGAAAAGTTCTTCGAAAAACAATGCAAGGCGAAAACAGCGATAAAGTCATCGCGGAAGAAAACTTCGAGAAGCAACGCAAGGCGAAAACATCTCGTACAAAACATTGTGGGAGAAAAGAAAGAAAGCAGAAAATATCGCAGTTCTAAAACATCTTTGTATAAAATATTGTCCTTGAAAATCGACCGTTCATAAACATTGCAGTTTTAAAACATTGCCGTAGAAAATATCGTTGTGAAAAACAAAACACCTACGAATCATCGTATGGCGTTAATATCGCAGGCATGTGTTTTTCAGGCTTTAAAAGTTGTAAATGTATATTCGCATAATGATCTACGAGCGCAAGAAAAAATATTGAATATTTTTATCTCTATATTTCATATTTTGAATTAATAATTATTTGCTGAAGATGCAAGAAAAAAACTTAAACTGAAAATGAACTTATTAATTAAATTGAACTAATTAAATAAACAATTTTAATAGATAACCTAATGCAGTTACTCATCTTCCCTTCTGTAAATCAATTTTAGGCTTCATTTTTCATGAATGACTGTTAGTGCAACTTTATAAATGAGAGTAATCAAATAATGACCTTTAATAATTAACTACATAAGTTTAATATTTTACTTACGTTGCTATAAGCAACATTAATTTTCTACTGATTTTTAAGTTTTTGAATGCTGAAGTTTCCTTGCTGCTTTTTTTAGCAAAAAGTTATTCATTAGTTCAAAAATATTAAGTATAGAAGTAAAAATAGTCTTCATTTCTTCTTGCACGCACAGATTATTATCTGCGATGTTAGTGAACCGCTTTATTTTCAACTACGACGTTTTAGAACTGCAATGTTTTCTGCTTGCTTTCTCATCTCCCACGATGTTTTGTACGAGGATGTTTTGACTTTGGGTTGTTTTCTCCACAACATTTTCAGTCTACCGCTTTTACGATCATCCTAAGCTGAAATGGGAACCACTGAAAGAACTTTGTCAGTCGTCTATATGGTTTGGATGGGTTTATTTAACTACGATATAGCACTCGAGGGCTATCTCCTTAAGAGCAGAGATGTCTTTGTGGAGGACGCTGTAAGGGAAACTGACTCGTATACACGTTACACATGGGGAAAACCATGAAAACGCCCATGCAGCCAGCCCGTTCTCCGGGATTCGAACCCCGAAGCGAACTGCCAGTGTACAGCGATGTTACCGCTCAGCCGATGGTGGGTCTTGCAGATGGAATACTAAAAAAAGAGTTGAATCATGTTAGAAGATTATGAAGGTAAAGATTCTGCACCACATGTCGGTAGGCTGCGCAGTGCATAGATCTGAACGACTCATAAAAGCTCCTGCTTTTATTTTGTAATACTTAACGGAATTTAAATTTAATGGAATAAAAATTTGAATAGATTATTAAATTAATTAATGGAATAATTTTTTTTTGTTTCTTCTTAATAATATGTATTTATTTTCATATTTAAAAACAGCATTTTAATGGTGCTATTTAAGAAATAATTAAATAACTAAAAGCGATAGATCGCATACTAAAATACATCAAAACCGATACATTATAACATATTAAAATGGAATTTTCAGTCTTCAAATTTTAATCACCGCTGCCTGTGGTTTGTTCTATACTGAAAAGATTTAAGTAACAGTGACAGAAGTAAGTTCTCAGTAAGAAAATTTGAACAATTGTATTTGTTATATTTGAAGGAATTAAAGATTTAAAGTATTTATTTCATTGCTGAATTTTTAACAGTAATATAATTACGAAACAGGAAGTTATTTTATGTTAAAATGGTAGAAACACTATTCATGACTTCTGATTATTGTGTAGCTCACTATTAAAGTCTATGACAGTGCATTAAATGTCAAATTTCCTTTCTAACAATAGTTATAAATTCTGCTATGATATAAATTATTTAAGAAACTATTGATATAGCTAACGAGAGCTTAGGTCAACTATTGGCTGAGCGAGTCAAAAACTTTAAATGCTAGTAGTTCACCTTGAATTCCATTCTCCGTAGTTGAGCGAACTTACAGTATGAACTTTTTACGGTTTTCATCGCCTGCAATGCAAATATGGATCGGTTTTCCTTAGAAAGTCCTCAATAATTACAATTATTCTTATGTGCTTTATCATGATTAAGTAATCAAACTCTGCAAGAGCCTAGGTAATTTTTTTATGTTTTCAAAGGAAAAAATAACCATCTTCTCCCCTCCCGACGGTCATGTATAACGTGTATAAGAGCCAGTTTCTCTTAGAAAATCCTCCACGAAAACACACCTTCATTTAGGCAGAAGGCATCGAGTGCTTAATTAAATAAACCAAACTAAAACAACCCTCACGACGGTATAAAGTTCTATTTGGTATCATAACGACGGTATAAAGTTCTATTCTATTTGCTTTCGTAATTTGAAGTAATTTTTATTTCATCGATATGAAACAGTCCTACACAAGAACCGAATATTTTGAGTCTAGATTTATTAAAATATAAAATTCATTGAAATAATGCTATATATAGTTTTGATAGATTCATCTGCAATATGTGTAAATCTGTAGGTGTACATTTTCTTTTAGAGCACTTAATAAAGATTTATTATGAAATTATTTTCGCGTCATTTGAAATACGAATTACTAAGAGAAAAGAAAACTATTTCTAAAAAAATTAATTTTATAGTTATTATATACACATTATGTAAGAAATATTTAATAAAATGATTTTATTTCACTGTCATGTTATTTTATTATTTGTATAATCTTTATTAGTAGATAATAATTATTATTAAGTTATAATTGATTATATTTTATTATTTTTATACTTTATTATTTCCTTCTCACGCCTTTTATTCTTATTTATTTATTTACATTACTATCAACTTTGTTTTGTACTTAAAATATTGCTCAATACAAAATTTATCTATTTTTAGCTATTCTTAGAAGCGAGACTAAGTTAGTCAGATAGTAATTTTATTTCTAAAAATCTGACTGTTTCAATACAAAGTTATATTTGATGAATGCATGATGTTTATTGCGACTAATGCTGTTGTCAAAGGATTAAAAATTGAGCATATCTTTCTAAAATAGTATGTGTTAAGAAAAAATGAAGATATTTATCTATTGAAGCTCTAGCGGAATATGATTTACTCTCATTTTTGGGGTGATTCTTTACTTATAACTGCATATACTCATTGTTTAAAGATTTATCATTTCATTCAAATTTTATTTTTGCCTTTTAAAAGTCCGTATTATTTAAAACCCATTTATTAGATATAATGATACTTTAATGATCAAAGTGATTTATGTATGTTATGCTTTCCGTTGGATTAACGTCAAATGATAATGGATTTGAAATCCTTAATGAAAAAATAACTATTTGTCAACTTATCTGATTTCAGCAAATTTGTGATGATAAACTAATTAATTAATCCTATGTATATCCTTCCTCTCGTTATTATTTATATAGATATTGCGTCTTGCAAGTTCTTGGAATGTGATTAGAGTAGAAATTTAATAAGGCCTCATTTTAATTTTCTAACCAGTTAATTTATTTTAATAATCTTTCCTATCAAGTCTCGCTTCATTTCCTTGCTAGAATGTAAATGTATACGACATGAGGTATTTAAATTATGTAGAAAGATGGAAGTACTTAAAGTAAGGTTCTGATCTAATTTTATGTCACCGAAAAAAAACCACATCTTATAAACTCTTTGAAAACGTCGGAGCATTTTGCAGCCGAGCCCAAAGTTGCGTTAGAAATCTCCCAATAGCTGCATTATATAACAACAGCTACTTTAACTATATATGAATCATCATATTTGTAATAGTTATCCAGTGAGTTTAATGAATGTATTCAGTGTGTAAGATGAATATCTGTAAAATTTTATGCTAAGGAAATGCTTGTTAAATAACATGTTTCACGTATTATACATAACTGAAATTTTGCTATAGTTACACAACAAAAATTCGTTTATTTATTCTTAGGACTAATAACCATTAGCATCATGATGAAGTATATCTGAGTAACCACTTTTAATATTCAGGGTCTATGTAATATCATAGCACGTTTTTCATATTTGTCATACAAATGTAATGTCATATTATAATTACAATAGTTTGTTGAACCATTTTCACAGATAACAAAGCTAACAAACATCAGTGCTTTAAAACTTCCAGTTATTATTATTCATGTCTTGGCAACCTTTTGAATTTGTGTACATAAAATGTTTCAACGCATTAACGTCACGAAACAAATTTTATTTACCTCCGTATGCCGACGTCGCTATGTAATTCTATATAATATTTAGTAATTAATGTTTTTGCCCTTAATGGGCCAAAGTTACCGCCCCCAACATAAATAACGAATACGAATCCATTATTATTTTTAAAAATTACAATATTGTCTACAGGTTTTCTTATGCCCGGTCTCCAGGCTGTGGTGTGTTGGGAAATAGATGTCCATTGGTCTGGCTGAAAGGACAAGACAGCTATCATTCCAGTAAAGTAAAATTAAGTTCATTGATGTAACACAAGGATAGCTATCATTCTAATAAAATAAAGTAAAGAGGTTAGTTCAGAAAGAGTGTATTTTCTATTGGGAAGAAATATTTGATACCAGTATATTTCATTATTAATAGGTACACATTATTTAAGGTTGTCAAAGGACTAAGGATTAATCATGCTAAAGCCATTAAAGAATTGTGGGTATAAATCAAGAATTTGCTTGTACAGGAAAGATTTCTTTGTAATTAATGGATATTAAAATGGATTAAATGGATATTATTGTTTGTATTTAGTATTATAAAAGGAAAGCTACGGTTATGCAGGGAACTAGTTTCACTGAGATTCGAAACCTGAAAAAATGTGCGAGCATTCTGCAACTTTCACATGTCCAGTGATAAGTTTAATCGAGAGAACTATTGATATCTTACTCTTCTGCACACTTGACGTAGCCACCTCTGCCGTCAGTCCCGCAGTTTCCATTTAGACTTCCCTGCGTATTGAAACGGGCAAAACATTCCTGTTCAGATGCCACAGCCCCTATAAATAGGGAAGTTAATAAATTAAATAAATATTCTGGTAACTATAGAACAAAATAAATGAAATCTGAAAGCCTTCAGATTTTACATTTTAAGCCCAAACGGCGTTTTTTCATTTATAGACACTTATACGTTTCAAGAGCATTTGGTAACTCCACATTGGGCTAAATTAGAATTTTAAAGTCTCGCGCGGCGGAGATAAAAATGTTTTATTCCTTTCAGTGTTGCCACTGCTCGATTTGAAATTGTTGAATTTTTTAATCAAAAATTCATTAAAGTTTTACAAAATATGAAATAGGCAATAAAACAAATTCCAAATTCAGGCTTCCCGATGCCCATGTTCGGGTGGAGGACTATCTGATTAAGAATTTGATGACTCTAGGTACCGTTGTTTTTTTTACAATGCTAGAAAATACATACATTCATGCCGAGTCTTCATTATTTAGTTTCTTTAAATATAATACGGGACTATAATATTGGTGTCCGCCGAAAACATCGCGGACGAAAACGTCGCGGAGAGAAAAACGCAAGGCGTAAACGTCGTGGCACAAAACATAGTGAGAGAAAATAAAGCAAAGAGAAAACATCACAGTTTTAAAACATCGTGGTACAAAATATCGCGGTCAAAAATAAAGCGGTTCGAAAACTTCGCAGTTTAAAAACATCGTCCTCGAAAATATCGTGGTAAAAAATAAAGTACCTAAAAATCATCGCATGACGATAACATCGCAGACATGCGTTTCTCAGGCTTTAATAACTGGGAAAAGGATACTCGCATAATGATTTGTGAGCGCAAGATGGGAAGAAGGATAATTTTTACTTTCATACTTTTTTAACTAAATATTTGCTGAAATGGAAACTAAAGTACAGAAAATCAATGCAACTTATAGCATTTAATAGAAATTTAAACTGACATACAAAGACAATTAATAAATTATATTTTTTATAACGTTTTTCTGCTAATTTTTCATGAAAATTATAATCTAAAAAAGATTAGAAAAAGGAAGATAAGTAACTGTATGCCCTTATCTATAAAAAATTGATAAGTTAATTATGAGATTATTTTCTTCACTTTTGCTATCTGATACTGTTATAAAGAAAATTATTTCTTTTTTGCTTAAATTTCTTGTGTTATTTTTTGTACATTTATTAGTTCATAAAACATATCCATCTATCCATTTTGCGCTCACAAATCATTTAATGTTCTTTTTCAAGTAACGTATTGAATTCTGCGAACGTTTACGTTATGCTCCTGCCACAAGTTTTAACCCCTATGAAAGAGAAGATAAACACATGCTAAGAGCCAACAGTAGCATCATCTGGGGACTATGTGTGTACGTGTGTGTGTGTGTGTGTGTGTGTGTGTGTGTAAGCAAAAATAATGAATCACAGTCATATATTATTACAGTGGTACCATCAAAATGTGTGGCAGGTGCTTAACGAAAAAGTACCGAATTCTAAACACGGTATATTTTTTAATGCCGCAATGTCGTCGTCAGTTATATGCCAGCATTCACAGTTAAACTGCAGATTTGAAAGATCTTCTTTTTAAATTAATAACTACTTTCGGTTAGCAGATATTCTTTTAAAAAATATGCATGTACTTAACAAAATATTCTTATCAGAATGGCAGCATCCAGTTTATTTTATAGCATTTACGGAGGTGAAGATTTCATTTCATCTGCTTTAATAACATTTTGAAAACCTGGTCGTTCTAAAAATGTATCAGATAAAAATGTTCAGTATAATATTTATTTAGATTTGTATTAGTAATTCATATTGCTGCTTCGTATATGGAAGACATTTTTTATAAATGCTTGGAAAATCAGGCATAAAACTTTCGGGAAAATTATAAGCCCCAAAATTGTTAATATAAATCGTAAGCTGTGAAATTTTACGATTTATCTATCAATGAATTTTACCTTTTTATTTTAAGATAAAACTACTGCTTTAATCATGAGTTTAACACCCGTCTTCTATCTTTACTAAAGAAGACTCCAGATTGAATTATTAGTTAGGACTTTGAGGCCTTCTTTAACCTCGTTCTAGATATTGTTGTAGAAAAACATTTAAACTAATATACATTGCTGTAAAAAACATTTAAACTATGTAGCAATCGGCCACAAAGCCTTAAAAAGGCTTAATATCCTTAAGAGATTATGTAGTGCATCTTGGGGATCACGACCAACAACTTTTCGTAATACTTATACTTTGCTTGTTAGGCCTATTCTAGAATATGCTATCACCGTTTGAGCACCAGTCTCATCTTCTTCAAAGGATAATATCGGCAATGTCCAGTACAGAGCATCTAAGATCATTATTGGTGCCGTCTTCATCTACAAGTAAAAACAAAGCAGAAACTGAATACGATCTAACACCATAGAAAACAAAACAAAATTGGCCGTCAACGAATTCACAAATAAAATTAGAAGTCTTATAGATCTTCATATCTCCAGCAAAACCTTCAAGTCGTGGAAAGGAAAAAATAGATTGAAACGGCCCTCCATCCTACAATTCGACAACGAAATCAGGAGAAAAACAGCGTGAAGCTATTGATATTCTTAAAGAATCTCTTATCTCTATCAGTCCATTCCCAAAACCATTTGTAAATTTAAACTTTGTAACAAAAAAGAGGCAGCTGCAATAATGAAGGAGGAAAAAAAAAGGCATTCACACCATCAATGAGCTTTCAAATTCAGTTCAAAATCTAGCTATTGCATATATAGGTGGTTTCTCCGATTCATACCTGGACAGGGGGGCACTGGCATCTATTTTATTCATGCTAACGGTGAATCTGAATCCCATAAAATACCAGTTGGTAAAATTGTCTCAAATTATACCTGAGAGCTCGTGGCCATCAAAAAGACTTTCCAAGGAAAGATACCTACCTTTCCAAGGCAATCCAGAACTCCAGTGGCCTCGTATTATTCTCTGATTCTAAATCTGCGCTCCAAGCCATCCTAAGGGGCAACTCTCAACTTACCCAGGACATTATCATGCTCATGAACAAAACTACTGCAGCCCAAAGGACCTGCACAATGCAGTGGATGCCAGCGTATATTGATATTTACGGAAATCAGCAGGTTGATGGATTTGCGAAAGACGCCCGAAATAGTTCTCAACTTTCCAACAGCTGAACCCTTACTGATACTGACTGCAATAGTCAGCCAAGACTAACCTCCCAATCAATCAAGAAGAATTCCATTCCTACCCTAAGTTGTAACCGTGTCATTTCTACTGCCGTATCTAGACTGAGGACAAAACACTTCAAAGTAATGGAGATATCCTCTGAGGGCCAGCGAAATTATAATAGGTGGCCTCACTGTACTGATATCCAACTTTCTCCAGACCATTTCTTCGACTGTCTTGCTATTTTGGCCAAGCTCTTCAGTATAGACATAGCTTTCTCGCACCGACTCATCTATTCTTCGAAGAATACTGATGTTGCTGCGGTTATTCTGGATAGTTTTTGGTGGTATTTGACTCCTTGGATAATAATAACTCCTTGGACACTGACTCCTTGGATAATAACAACAACAACTAATACTCCGTGAGGAACGTTTTAGTTATGGTGCTAGAGCTAGGATCTATGCCTAAAAGAGCAGAATAAATTTGCTTCGTGGGACATAAAGATCAGATTTAATTTAACATCGGTTTGAAAATTTAGTTGGCACCGTCCATTTCCGTTTTGATCAAAGAATACAAAAGGTGTAAAACATTTCAAACAAATATTATGTATAAAATAGGAACAAATCTCATGACCATATCAAAAGAACTCCGCTGCATGGAAGGAGGCCATAGAAGATTACGTCAGTTTCTGAAAAGAACACATTTACTGTCTAGCTTTTCATAAAAAAATTATAATAAAAGGATTTATATCGCTGAAGAAGGTAACAATGTTTTTAAGAAGTGTAACGCAAAGCTGAACACAAAGAATAAAACATTACATATTTACTTGAAGCGAGAAACACAAGAATTCCGATTCATTTAATTAGCTCCAAAGAGAGAGAATTTTATTTATTATTAATGGAGATCAAATCACTGGCTGAAGCCAACAAGGTTAATGTAATTAATTAATTAAACTGAATAAAACTGGAAAAGCTTTGAATTTCGAAACTAATTAAAATTCTTAGTCTACAAATATTATTAATATTTTTATATTAGCTGTTAAGTTACCTTTGCATACTTAATTAATATATGTTTGAAATAATGAAGTGGAAACTTATGTGCCATGATAATTATTGTTATGCACTGTGATGATAAAATATATTTCATTAAAATCATTCTATCGTGATATATGGTATCATTACCTAAGTATAATAAGTAAATAATATTAATAGATTGATTTAGTGAATCTGAAATCTTAGCTCTTCAAAACTGATTTACTTAATAGGCAAAAGAAAAGTGGTAAATCCACTGTGAAATATCAAGTAATTAAAGTTAAATTAAAACTTGATAGTAAATGAAATGCAATTTTGATAACAGAGGGAAAATTGGATGTCTGGAGGGATGAATATGTAATTAATTAGGGATCTTTCAGCGCCAAAAGCATTTTCGGAGTAATGCAATTGTGTGAAAGTAATGAGTAATGAGGTTTTGGGCTTTATCAACGCTTATAAGCTTGGAGTAATAAGATTTTGTAAAGGATTTTCTTAAAGGGCTATTGTTGTGCAGTCAAATTAATTTATTTAATTAAAATCATATTTCAAATTTTAATTTACTACTTTTAGTTAGGGGGTGATAATAATTAATTTGGTTAAGCTTATTTTACTTTATTTTAGAAAAGACAGATATTAGGCTTTCAGGTTTAGCTTAACTCGGGTAAAAGAGACATGCGTCTAAAGTATATTTTTAAGTATTATTGAAATTTAAAAATGCAAATTATTGAGTTATTAATTTGAAATTTATACACACTATACAGTAAAGTTTTGCCTTTCTTGTGAACTTAAAGTTATGAACATAGGTTAATTAGTTGAGAATTTATTCGCAAAAAGTATATAT